AGGGGGAGTGTCACGAGGATGGAGCCAGGCTCTTCTCAGTGGCAAACAATGATAGGACAAGGGGCAATGGGTACAAACTGGAACACAAGAGGTTCCACTTAAACTTGAGAAGAAACTTCTTCTCAGTGAGGGTGACAGAACACTGGAACAGGCTGCCCAGGGAGGTTGTGGAGTCTCCTTCTCTGGAGACATTCAAAACCCGCCTGGGCACGTTCCTGTGTAACCTTATCTAGGTGTTCCTGCTCCGGCAGGGGGATTGGACTAGATGATCTTTTGAGGTCCCTTCCAATCTCTAGCATACTGTGAACCACTAATACTGTAAGACAGAAGAGTGGAAGAACTGCCTTCTATCATTTTGCATACCCTGCTGAGCTGAACAGTGTCACCTCTGCCAACAGCAAATTCCATAAACTTTATTATTGGAGAAAATACAGGTTTGCATCAAAACAGCCATAAAAAACACAACCAAACAGAAGTACTTAGCACAGGGAATTCAACACACAGATGTTACACACATCCATAGGGACTACCATCCCCAGACGCTACTGCATCTCTTCCTCCTTCTGGGCCCTGTACTCCTTCATGCTCCTCTGCAAACAAGAGCAAAGGACAAATGTTAACAGCATATACCTGAGCGACACCCCATGCCACCACCCTCCTCTGTGCTGTGACTCCTCTGTCCAGTGCAGAGGACCCTTAGCAGCTCTGACAGAGCTCCAGGTACCTTCAGAAGTGACTGAGCTTTAAATTCACCCCGATGAAAAGGAGCCCAGGCCATGTTGCAGGTCAGGCAGAGAAGGGCTGAGGTAACTATAGGTTCTTTATGCCTACAATACAGCTGTCAGCCCCTTCCTCTTGCCTCTGAGACCAAGAGACAGAAAAGCCCCCTGAACTCTTCAGGAATAGTCTCACCTCAAAGGTGTTGAGCACATGTTGACAAACACCCATCAGGTCATTCAGCCCCTTCCGGAACGGCTCAACAGCAGGAAGGGCCCCTTTGGGAAAGAAGATGGGTCAGTGTTTTCCAAAGGGGTTGGTGGCCCTCTCCCTCACTGCTCTGGGCAGTGTGGTTGTTCCCCCGTGACAGGAACAGGCTCTTACACCAGCCATATGCCACACACTTCCCTCTTACCAGCCCACCATCAGCACCCCGAGAGCTGAGCTCAGGCCCAGGCTATGGTGCAGGATTAGCAGAGCCAAACCGTGCAGGTAGCCCCACAGGGAAGGAGTTCCCTTGGCAAGAACAGCCTCAGCACTACTCATTTTTAGGGAATTAAACAGTCAGCAAGCACAAACTCGATACTCAGGGGAACAGCCCCATAAGGAATGAAGTAACACTGTCCTGGGGCAGCACACAAAGCTGTGGAGCCTAGATGGAGGGCAGTGGACTGAGCTGAAGGGGTTGGTGTGCTTAGAGGAGTGAGTGATGGCAGGAGGCTCAGAGTTGTCAGTGCTACCTATTAACAGGGAACACAGACCCCTTTGGGAGGCACATCAAAATACAGCACAGACTGATGTGGCTTTTCAAGAGAGCTTTGGTTCACAGCCAGACAGCCAAGAAGGAGAAGCAGAAGCAAATTATCTCATTGCAGCTATGTATGTCAGCACACTTTGGGGTGGTTTTCCATAACCTCTGCTGATTTAGGGGAAGATGAAACACCCATCATCTCTGACAGGATGTAGCAGATCTACCTTACCCCAGCACTACAGTACAGTGCCTGCTGCCAGCCAATCTGACCAGGCACAGCAGCTTGCAGAGAAGAGGGAGAAGAGTGTTTTTCTTTATGGAAATGACTGATGGTGGAAACCTGACACTCACAGAGGGGATTCCACAAAACAAGGGCCCTGAACATGAAAGCAACGCACATCCCATACCTCTGCTCTGGATCCGGAAGTTGATCTTGCTTTCAGAGGGGTGTGTGATACAGTAGCCACAGAACTCCACATCAGGGCTGCAGGAGGGGCAAGAGGAGACCAGTGAAACCCAGGCGAATCCACAGCAAATCTCAGGGAAGTCAGAGGCTTGGGCCACCCCAGATGTGCTGGGGCTCAGGGTGTTTCTAACATAACTGAGGTTCTTATGGGAGGGATATGCTGAAAGGACATTACCTGTGTAACCTTATTCACACACCTCCATCTATTTGTGAGCTGCAGCTGGAGCTTTGTAGGGGAAAGACCTGGCTGGCACTGTTCAAACAGGAGATCCTGGGTGCTTGGAAATCTCCCTTCACACAAACCTGTTGCAGTTCTGCTGGGCAAAGGAGGCAGAGGGGCCTTGGGCAACACAAGATGTTTGCAGACTGCACAACATCTGCCTTCACAAGCCAAGGTGGTTGGTAGAACATTTGTGCATGCAGCAGAAAGCACAGCCCCTCACAAGAAGGCTGCTCTTTTTCTTGTCATGATTATCTATCAGAGGAATTCACATGACATTTGCAATGCAACTGTCATTTGAGATGATGCATTGAACTTCCTGCTGGAATTCTTCTGAGGCTTACCAGTGAGTCTTCACAAACCCCAGTGCCTCCCAGAGTGAAGCCATTTGTATATTTTAATGGGGGCAACAGGATAATTCATTTCCAGCATCAATTCCTGCATCTTGATGGAAGCATTAAAGATGATCAATTTTAATACTGGCTGTTCCTACCCTCTTTTCTGACAACACTTGCCCAAGAAGGTGACACAGATACTGTGCGACCACCTGTACTTACACAGAGTTGCACATCACTTTACCCAGAGCCACATAAGACATTCAGAAGTCTGCCACATGTCAGGCATTACTTTTCCTCTGTAACTAAACATCGGAACAGTGAGGGTTGGCTGTTCCCTAAGGGATGGGGAGCTGGGAGCATGAACTGTAAGCCAGCCAATAGGGCAGAGGACTCACTGGCCAGCCCTGTCCCACAGCACCCAAGCAAGGGAGTAAGGTGGGTGCAAAGGTGGTAGCCAGGCCAGCCAAGGGTCCAGGTCACCAGACAGGTTTGTGGGGGTGAAATAGGTCCAAGTCCAGCCCAGGAAGACAATCTGCAGGTCAGGTGAGGGTAACGAGGGTCAGACAAAACCTATGACCACCAAGCAGGTGTACAATGTACAACAATGAGGAGAGGTTGATGTCAGGTCAGGAAGTCAGTCCATGGGTCAGCATCCAACAGCCCAGTACAGGCTGAGCTGAAGACCCATATTCATACAACACAGCTCAGGAGGGACTAAAAGGCCTGAGCTGAGCTTAAATGGGGCTCCTGAGCCTGTGGGTAGGGTGTGTTTGGAGGCCCCAGGTGAGGCTGCTTAGACCCATCAAGGCCTATTAGTGCTCTCAGGGGTTAACAGCCCAAGGAGAAAGTTAATCCTGGGAAGAGAGGAGGTAGGTAAGCAGCCTTTAGCACCAGGTCTGATATAAATACTCCAACAGGCACGCACAGAGGTAGTTTTGCTTTGTGCTAGCAGCAACTGAGATAGAGCTCAGTAAGGAGAAGGGAGCAGTAGGAGACAGAGGAACCCCCAGTGGTACCAGGGGCTGCAGGGACTCCACTTACTTCTTCATGACCATGTACCGCAGGGCATTGCCAAGCGTGTGGTCCTCATCGTGCAACACAAACGTGACGCAGTTTCCATCTGTCCCGTCTGCCTGGACCTGCCATGAATGGGGAGAGAAGAGATGCTGTAAGGTTCTCTGAACACCAGCCCCACGGTGAAAAATCAGCGGTTGTGCTCAGCTTCACCACAGGCACTGGGAGGACTGGGCCATGGCTGCTGCTTGGGTCTCAAGTACTGGAACGTGACCAAGAGCAACTTCACAGAGGAGGGGAGGTGGCAAAACTATCGACCTCAGAGAAAGCTGCCCCTGGTTGTCAAAGTGCCTGTGCACCCTTGCTCCTCACAGGAGAGAAGAGGAGCCCAAAGAAAGCTGCAGCTTCAGGACCCATGGTGGAAAGAACCTGGGAGTGACTGTTCAGGTTGGTGTGATTCCGGGTCCTGCTCCTCACCAAGGGCTAGACAGTCAAAAACTGCCCAGGGAAGTGTGCTGCCTGTCAGCAGGGAAAGCTTATCCACCTCAGAACCAGATTCACACACTTGGGAGAAGCCTGGGGAAGCTATCGGCGAGCCTCAGGCTGCTGGGCCCACGTGTGATGAACCCCACAAGGCCAACAAGGAGCCTCTAGTGTGGGAGACCACTTTCATCCTGCCTCCCTGTCCCGGAGCTCAGCTCCCCCCATTCCCACAGACAGACGGGGCAGGGAGCGCCCGATGCTCCCGTGCCAGCTCTCCCTGTCGCTGTGACCCAGTGAAGTGCCAGCGGGGAGCCCGCAGTTTTCCTGCAGGGCAGTGCCATCTAGTGCTTCCTGCTGCTGCTGCTGCAGCGGGGCTCAGCGGCCTGAATGAACCGGGTGGAAGGAGACGAAACCGCTGCTGGCAAAGCCACCCAAAGGCCTGACGTTCCACAGTGCTGAGCGCTACTGCCGGAGGGGAGACTGAGTTGAGCTCTTAGGCAGAAGCTCTTCCCTGTGAGGGTGCTGAGGCGCTGGCACAGGGTGCCCAGAGAAGCTGTGGCTGCCCCATCCCTGGCAGTGCTCAAGGCCAGGTTGGACACAGGGGCTTGGAGCAAGCTGCTCTAGTGGAAGGTGTCCCTGCCTGTGGGAGGGGTTGGAACTGGGTGAGCTTTAAGATCCCCCCTCCCTTGGATCTACCCTCACTATCGCGATTTATCCAGACGCCAGCACACTCTTCCTTAGGGGGCCCGTGCTGAGGGGCCCCGCCCAGGGAGGCTCCGGCTACCGCTGCCGGGGGAAAGCAGCTCCCACCGGCTGAGGAGAGCCGACTCCCGTCCCGTCCCGTCCCGTCCCGTCCCGTCCCGTCCCGTCCCGTCCCGTCGGCCGGTCGCCACACTCCCTGCCGGCCTCACTCACCGTCTCCAGCACCGCCTTCCGCTCGTCCTCCTCCGCCATGGCCTCCGGACTACAACTCCCAACAGCCAGCGCGGCGCGGTCCCACCGGAAATAACGTCACGGCGACACGGTGTAGGCGCGGAGGGAGGGGGGGCTGCTCCCGAGCGCGGCGGGCGGTGGTGCCCAGGGAACGGCCCCTCCTGCCGCGGCGGCCGGTGAGCGGGGCCGGGGCCCGCGGGGAGGGGAACCGGGGCCTGCGGCAGAGCCGCCTGGTGCCCTCACAGCGTGCGGCTCTACCCCTGCCTCCCCCGGGGGCGGCAGGCCGCGGCGGGGCCGGCACTGACTGAGGGGCTGGGCCCGGGAGCCGTGGCGGTCGGGGGGGTTGGCTGGGTGCTCCCGGGGTGGGAGGCCTCGTTCTGTATCAGCGGGGTGTGGGGAGCTCGGGGAGCGGCTGCTGGCGTGCGGGGAAGGGAGTGTGTGTTTGGGGGTAAAGGCCGTTGGGGCTGCGGTTGGCCCCGGTGCGCTGTGTGTAGGAGCTCGGAGCCCCGGACACCCGGGGAGTTGAAGGACCGGACCGCGATAACCGCCTGCGGTTACCCCCGGGGGTGTCAGCGTGCTGGGGGCGCACCCGCTGCCTCCCTGGAGAGTCGCTTGTGCAGCGGCTCCTGTTTCCCCGCCCCTGTCTAAAACACGGTTCACTGCCCTCCGGATCGGGTGAGGGGCCTGGAACAGAAGCCGGATTGATCCTGCGAGCTGTTCCCGAAGGGATGAAGTGGGGAATCTGCACTGAGCTCTGCGGGCAGGGAGGGGGCTAAACTTTAACTTGGTACGTGAATGAGGGGGCTGGAGCAGCTCTGCTGTGGAGCGAGGCTGAGAGAGCTGGGCTGGTTCAGCCTGGGGAAGAGAAGGCTCCTTAAGGGAAGACCTTAGAGCAGCTCCAGTGCCTAAAGGGGCTGCAGGAAACCTGGAGAGGGGCTTTGGACAGTGGTCTGTAGGGACAGGACAAGGGGAACGGCTTTAACCTGCCAGAGGGGAGACTGAGCTGAGCTCTCAGGCAGAAGCTTTTCCCTGTGAGGGTGCTGAGGCGCTGGCACAGGGTGCCCAGAGAAGCTGTGGCTGCCCCATCCCTGGCAGTGTTCAAGGCCAGGTTGGACACAGGGGCTTGGAGCAAGCTGCTCTAGTGGAAGGTGTTCCTGCCTGTGGCAGGGGTTGGAACTGGATGAGCTTTGAGGTCCCTTCCAACACAAATCGGCCTGGGATTCTATGAATGTCGTGCTTCTCAGACGTAAAACGAGCAAATAAACTACAGGGCTCAGTGCTGGAATGTCTTTTAAGGAAATAATAACTTACTGCAATGCCAGGGGAAGGTTAAAGGGAAGTCGAGGCTACTTGCTGCTATAGTCACTAGAAATGATCTTATTGCAGTGGGGCCGTTTGCAATTTGCAGGGTTGCAACACACTCGTTTCATGTTTGGAGCCAGTTGGAGTGGGATGCCCTTTGCTTTCTGGAAGCATTAGCAGTGACCTCTGGTGCTGGCTGGCCTCTGAGGCTGTGAATCTCCTGGTGGAGAGCAAGAGGGGCTGATAAAGGGTGGGTGCAGGTTTCTGGGCTCCCTTCTTGTCCCAGCTCTCTTAAGCATCAGATAGGTTATGGGAAATCTTCAGTGAGGTCACAGCAACAAACAAATTGGGTTGTGTCTCACTTGAAAATCATCAGCCATCCCTAGTGAAGCGTTAAATGTCATGTTGAAGACTGAGCCTGTGTTTTAGCTGCTGTACAGGTTTTTTGGATCCTTCTTTCCAGTACCATGGGAGACCGTGCAGACAGCAGAGCATGACTTCTCATGAGTAAATCGCCATACAAATGCAGTGCTTGACCCGCCTTTGTGCTTCATCTCCCTGAGCTGCCAGATGCTTCTGGCACTGCTTCTGGAGTTCATTGGATCCGTGGTGTTTATTGGGTGTCTGGTGTCTCCAAGTGAGGTTTTCTTTTAGGATGGTTTGGTCTTGGCTGCTTCCAGCTGTTGAGTATTGTAAGTTTAGATAGAAACCAGCTGTGATCTCTAGGATCTACAAAGGGGTTGATTTTAATGGATTTAGTTCCTGAGTCTTGCAGCTTCTGAGCAGAGATGTTCTCTAACAGTTGATAGATGTGTGTTGCATGAGTTTCACAGGACTGCATGAGACACTGCTTACAGAGAGAAACGTATTCCTTCTTAAGCTGTTTTACTTCATTTGATCCATCCTGCTCAAAGCTGGGGGCAGGTGTCATTGCTAAGGATGTGGTTTCTGTCTCAGAAGTAAAGCTGAGAGCTGTGGGTTCAGTGAATTGATGTCCTTGCTGTGGGATCCTACAGTGGCAGCGAGCGTCACCTTACTTGTGGTGCTACTCAGTGCTACTCACTCTCTCCTCACTAATATGAGACCTGAGAATATCCAGTGTTAAAAGAGGCTTTTGGGAGTTGTCTGAACTACTTTATAGTGCTCAGTTTGAACCTGGAGTTCTGCTCCTCTGGGATTAAGGTGTCTCTTTGACTGTGGGCCTTGTTCTGAGGTTGGTCACTTGGTGCTTTGCAGACTGCTGATCTCCTGCAGTGTGTGGTAGGGGAGGCTTTAGCTCAAGAGGTTTAGTTGTGTTTGTATCCCTGGCTGTGCCCTGGTGTTGTACCATGCACTGACATAGGTCTGGTTCCATTTCTGGACTGGCCAAAACATCACAGCCAACTTTATCGTGGTGGATCTCAAGGAACATGGTTGTATAATCAATTCCTCCTGGTTTAGTTAGTATTGCTCCACATCAGTGTGCTGTGATAATGCTCACAAGTTCTTTGATTTGGTAGGAAATGAGGGTTGGCAGCACCTGAAGAGATCCAGTGTGGAGTGAGTAGAGAAGAGAATCAAGTGTGGTTTGTGTGGTTTGGATCTTCTTTCTAAATGAGAGCTAAGGTGTGCAACACAGGGAGCCCGAGCTTGTAGGGTCACTTTTGAAGGGCTGGGCAGTTGAAATGGGTTTTCTATACCTGTATCTATCTCTCTCTCTCTATATATATATATATTTCCTCACAGGTACTACTTTTTTGCCTGGACAATCTATGCTCTCCCTGTAGCTGTGTCAGGAGTGAGCTGCTGTCTCTTTAACCAGGAGAAAGGAGGAGCAGTTGCACGGCTGTTAATCATTACTTTATACAAGACCAGGATCAGCTCTGTGCTACCCTGGTCTCTGGTGTGATAAGCTTTTAACTGATGTAATCCAAGGCCTGGGTTTGTTTCAGCTTTGTGGACTTTTTGGGTCTGGGTTTTGGTTTGGCTTCTCTTCTGTTACAGCTTCTTCAGGTGGAGGTAATGGCTCCAGTGGGAAGGCTCTAAGGAATCTCTTTTTCTTTTATGTTTTAACTCCAAGTAATCTCCACTTCTGCTCAATGCCAGGTCCAAATGCTCCCCCCTTAACAATGCTGTGGGCAGCAGGCTGAATAAAGCTTTTGTCCTCTTCAGGTCTGTGGAGGTGGGACTTGTGATTCGTAATTTACTCATGTTTAACTAGAGGTAGGTGAGTCTTGGAGTACTAGAGTCTTGCTTAGAGACCCTCATGCTCCCATGTCTGTAGCACTGTGCTTTGAAGAGCTGATAGGTTTTTTTGTAAGGTCAGAGGCAGCAAAATAACACTGGAATCTGTGTGCTTTTCCTGCTCTAATGCCATCAGTGAGTGGTTGATGCAGTATTTTAAAGCTGGCTTAGAAAGAAGCCAAACTTATGTGTTGGCTGCTGAAGTCTTCTGGTGAGTGTGCATAAGCTCGAGTGTGGATGCAGGTGATCAGCCTGAGAGCTCTTCTGGTATAGCTTTCTGGAAGGAAGATGGACTTCTCTATGGTGGGGCAGCTCTGATGCTGTGAGATGTGATCTGTCAGAATGCTTCGGTGGTGCTGGAGGGAGAAGGTTGTGGTCGGGCTTCTAAGAAGCTTTCCAAATGACGTGGCTCTCTCTGCTTGTCACGTGAGGTTCTTGGTAGTTGAAGTGTTGCAAGGGATAGTGGGACACCCTGGAAGGATGTTTTGAAACTCTAAACTGGGACGTTGCCTTTGTGCAACTCCTAATTGTAGAAGAGCAGAGCGGGGAGCAAGAGCAGCCCTAAAGCTCAAGTACTGTGAGAGTTGTAACCTTGGCTGGGGCTGGACCATGGGCCTGACTTGGTGGGGCACCTGCTTGCTGCTTGGAGCTATTACCTGCTCCTCATAGTGTTTCTTGCTGGGGTTGAAAAAGCCCTGAACTTCTGTGGCGTTACAAATGGCAGCACTCAGCCAGACCAGGGTGGGCCAGGTGCAGTGGGATGCCTGGAAGAGTGGAAGAGCAGAAGGAGCTTGTGATAAACTCTTATGCTCCAGTGAGTGGCTGCTTGGGTGAGATTTGATAGTGATTCTTGCCCTCCATAACCTTGTAATGTGAACTCTTTTCCTCCATGATAGCATGTGGGAATATGCCTCAGAGGACACAGTGTGAAGACCTTCTTCCTTCTGCTGGGACCTGCTCTTGAGCTTGCTTTTCATTTTTGTGTTACAGATAGTGAGTAATCATGACTCCTTCTCTGCTTTGTGCTCTTCCTCCTCTGTTTGTGCTGAGGAGTTTCCTTAGGAAGTGTGTGAGAGCAAAAAACTGTTACCCTTGCTTTTCCATGTGCTGTGACTTCCACAGTCACCTTCAGCTGGACATTGATGTTGCTTCATTGACCCTAATAAGCACTACCTGACCTTGTGTTTAAAGGTCTCCTCTTAGATGTAAATTAATTTGGGGGGGTATTTTCCGTAATGCTGACAGACTCAATGTCAGAGGGCAGTTGTGAGCCTGCAAGCCAGAGTACCTGTGACTGTGGGATGAAACAAACCCAAACCTGGCTGTTTGTCACCTCTTTGTAGCCACAGTTTTAGGTGAGCTGGAGCTTGCTTGCTTCAGAATGGGAGGGGAACAGGGCAGGGGGTCTGTTAGTTTGGGCACTCTTCACCTTCCTTTTTCCTAGTAGATGTTGTGCAAGTAAATCCTGTTGTTCATGTCCCAGAGCCATGTCCAGATTAGGTTGGCATCCAGGTGGGAGTGGTGCAAGGGAAGCAAGTGATGTGGAACACTTGGACGTGGTGTGTAAGGACAAGGGAAGCTGCTGTCTCAGAGCAGCAGTGCAACAAGGTGCCTTTGTTCTGACAACAGATCTTGCTCTGAGACAGGGTGAAGAAGCAGTGAGTGATGCAGAGCAGCACAAGGGGTTTCCCTGTGCCCTTGGCAGAGGGAAGGGGCATGTGTCTGGTCAGAGGAGAGGCAGCTTTAGCCCAGGAGGAAGTGAAAGTGGTAGAGCTGTTTGGGCAGGCTGCTTCTGAGCCTTCTGTTGCTGATGCCCTTTGGTTGTGTTACTGGCCAGGAGGGGCAAAGGAGAATTGGCCTATTTGGGAACTCACATGTGCACAGTGTGAGGCTTCATCTGGCATGTTCTCCTGTCCCCTTTGCTGGCACTGTGACCCCTCTCAGGCTTTCTAGAGCACACTTGGCTGGGTGTTCTTCTCCAGAGCAGTGTCCTTCAAGTCCTCTCACTGTTCTGCTCCCTGCTTTGCTTGCTGTGGCAAACTCACCCTTTGCCTTCTGCTTCCTTCAGCAGCGCTGGCTCTGAACACCTCAGCTGTGTGTGGTTGTACTGACATAGATGTGTGAGCTTTCCAGCCACAACAGAGGTTTGTAGGTACAAACAAAGACAGGAACATGAGGGCAGACAAGTGCAAAGTGAAGAATACGATTTTGGGGTTTTTGCAGGGTCAAAAGTCTTCCTAAGTCTTTCCTAAGCAGAAAAGAGGCTTATGGAGGTAGTGGATCAGCTGAGTAGATGTCACAGCTGTGCTCTGGCATGTGGTTTCACATGTTAAATCTTGGCTCTGAGAGTAGATTAACGGGATGATACTTCAGCTGATTGTGTCCTGTTATATGAGAGCAAACGTTCTTCCAGCTCTGGAGACTTCACAGAGGGCTGGCCCTCAAACACTTGCATACTGTAAGCTGCCTGGTTTGAGACGTTGGCTTCAGAACTGGTGTGCTCCCGAGGATGATCAGCTTGCCAAGGTGCTGTCTTGGTTTGAGACAGGGTTGGGTGCTTTTATAGCAGTCTTGGGACAGCAGGCACCCAGTGAGTGTCTCCAGCCCATGAAAAGGGGATGTGTGTGGGGTGACTCCACACAGTGGCAGTTTCTCTACTTGAATTTGATAGCAATCAAAGCCAAGGCCTCACCCCTGAGCAGTCATGCGTTAGGCATGGGGGCTGCTGTTAGTGTAGCTGTGAGATTGTGACTTCCTTTCTGAACTGGGGCTCGCTGGCTGCAGGCACAAACCTTGCTTTTCTCAACAAGCAAGAAAAAACACCAGGATCAGTTAAAGAGCAAAGAAATGTACTAAAAGTCACTGGAAACCTAAGTGGAACCAAGGTCGGTAGAATTCATTATGGGGCCACTGACTGTAGGATGCCAGGGAGCTGCAGTGGGAAGAATCTTTTAGAGGTTGTTGTAGCCTTGGTGGTGTTCTGAACAGAACCTAAAGGAAGTGAGAGAAGCTTTCTGGTAGTGGCATCCTGTCAAAGTACTGAACAAGCTTCTGCCTCGCTCCTGTTGAGGGCTCAGTGAGTCCTGCTAAGATGATGCTGCTTCCTCTGGCAGAGCACACGAGTCTGATCCTTGCGGTGTTTTGTTCCAGGTGAAGCCATGGCTATCCTGTTCGCTGTTGTGGCGAGGGGCACAACCATCCTTGCCAAGCATGCCTGGTGTGGAGGGAACTTCCTGGAGGTGACAGAGCAGATCCTGGCGAAAATCCCTTCTGAAAACAACAAACTGACCTATTCACATGGGAAGTGAGTAATGCTGCTCCGCTGGGTACAGGGAGAGGCTGGTGAATGTGCACGGGGAGTGGAATAAATGGAGTGTAGCCAGGTTTGGATGTGCATGTATGCCCATGGAATGTGCTGTCAGCTCAACAGCTGCTTCTTTTTCCCCAGAACTTTGCAGCATGACCAGGATTTGAATTTAGCTTAAGCAGTAAGTACCAAAGCAGTTGATAAAAACCCAGGTTATCTACTTTTATGCAGCTCCAGAGGGTTTTGGAGAGTGCTCAGCTGTGGAAATTAAGCTGTTGGAGTCTGGTGTTTGGCTTGGGGAGTCTTTTGCTGGCTTTGCTGAGGCTAGGTTATGGCTTTAGGTAAGAGCATCACCCTTCTCAGCTGGATCACTTGTGGCTCCTGGTTGCTTTAAGGTAAGTCATGCTGACAGACTCCACAGGTCATCCTGACCTACCACAGATCCAGTCTGTGGGATGGAAGGATTCTTCCCAGGCTTGCACAGAGCTCTGAACAGCCCTGGCTCAGTGCTGATAGGATGGAGGGATTAGATGCTGCATCAGCCTGAGCCTGTGCTGACTCACTGCACATGTGTAATAGGTAAGTCAATGGGCTGCTGTACAAACTAAAGAACAGACTGGAGAAAGCAGATTTAGACACATTGGGCCCCAATTCAGCTCTGTTTGTGGAACTGGCAGCGTGGCTGCATTCACAGAACTGCCTGAGCTGCCATGTTAAAGCTGTTCTGGCAGCATGAGCATTCAAGAGATAAGAATCAGGGTAGGTTCCCCACATCCTTCCCTGGTTTGGGAGCCCTAAAAGTCCCTGGGCAGAGCTTTCTGAGGAAGCTGCCTGCCCTGTGGTGTAACATAGTTCAGATGCTGAATCTTTGCTGTTGTCATTTTATAGTAGTTCTTTTCTTTTGTATACTCTTTTCCTTAAGTGCTGTTCAGCCAGCTACAAAGCTGAGTTTCAGGAGCACCACAGTGTGCTTTATAGGTGAAAACTTGAATTGTGCTAGAGATTGGTATGAACCTAAAATAACAGCTTGGCTTAATTGTGATAGGCAATAATGCTTTGAGCTGGTTTGCACTGTTTTTCAGGATACTGAGGGTTGCCTTTAACTAATGTCTGTGTTTGCTCAGCACCACATCTTTACATGAATTGTTAACCTGGATGATGGATTCAAGCCTGTTTAGCCTGATTACTGTTCTAATTCACTTCGTGCTGGGGTTGCTTTGTCCATTAGCCTTTGTGCTGAAAACCAAATGGCACAGCCTGGTGGTCACACAGACAAGGTTATAGAAGCAAGTCACTGTGCAATAGAGGCTCACTAAGGGCTTCTCTTCCTGGTCACCCCAGTTAACTGCAGCTCTTGTCACATGTGAGCTGGTGAATGGATGCTTCTGTGCACACTGGTTAGGATTAGACACAAATCTTACCCCTGGGTATCCTGTCAGGGTTTTGCTTTTACAAGGAAGTAGCTGGAAGGATGTGGACCTGAAGTTGTTTGGCAACTAAATGACCCACAGCATTACTGCTAAGTGGGGAGTGCTGTGCAGTACCTGAGGCCAGTGATCCTTTAACACATAGGTGGTCTCTAATTCCCTGTAGCTTATAGGAGTGGAAACATTTACCTGAACAAAGAGGGCTGGGATATGTTGGCATCTGTCTGAGTTCTTGTAGAACCACTGGAATTTGCTGCCCTCCTTCTCCACCCCTCGAGGGCCCTGCAGGCAGAAGTGTCTTCTAGAAGGTTAGTCCCATGGCAGCTCCAAATGACCTTTCTTTTTCTTCTTCTTTGCAGTTACCTGTTTCACTACATCTGCCAAGACAGGATTATATACCTCTGCATCACAGATGATGTAAGTGGTTTGGTTACAGCTATGCCCAGACAGGCCCTTTGCAGGTTTTGGCTTTTCTTGTATTTATATGTCAAGGAAATTCAATAGTGGGTGCTGATCTGAGGTGCCTTTTTTCCATTGGAGCTGCTGCTTATCATTACATCAATTACAGCTTTGAAGTAAGCCTGGAACTCAAATGCATGTGAATAGTTAGTTTTGAGGTGAAGTTCTTGCTTTTGCCTAGTTTGTGTCTTAGCAGCCCCAGTGCAGAAGAGTCTAGATATAGAGCCTTGAATTGTCCGTGCAATTATAAGTGTTGTAGCAAAACCTTTTCCCTCACTGGAAGAAGGTACCAGGCACAGAATTAGAACCATTGATTCCCTGGTAAAGTCTGCTGCCATCCCACACCCAGGAGGGTGAGACTGGAATATGGCTGCTGCTGATTCCCAAGCTGACCAGTCAGATCCCATCATGTTAGGTGCAGCATGAACTGATAATTACAGTTTCTCTACCTGCCCCGTGTACTTTGTTGTTCCTTGGTACAGCTCTGGATGTGGTTTCCTTTCTTCTTTGCAGGACTTTGAACGATCCAGAGCCTTCAACTTCCTGAATGAAATCAAGAAGAGGTTTCAGACCACGTATGGCTCGAGAGCACAGACAGCTCTTCCCTATGCAATGAACAGCGAGTTCTCCAGTGTCTTGGCTGCGCAGCTGGTGAGAGCTGTTGCTGAATGGGGTTTCCCAAACTTCTCCCCAGAAATCCTCCTTGCGTTTGCTCCCTTGGAGCTGAAGCACTGCACTGAGCCTGAGTTTAAAGCTGGGGAGCTGGCTGTTCTCCACTCTTCCCCTGCTGCTGGGGTGCTTTGGTGTAAAAATGGGTTTTAATGGGCATTAGCTGGTCACTGCACTGGAAACTAGATCTTAATGGTAGCATTTGAAATGTCCAGCGTAGTTCCAGTGACCATCCAGTGCAGGCTGATGTCACTAAGAGCAGGACAAACACAGTTCCTGTTAAACCGAAGTTCAGAACTTGAGAACCTGGTAATCCTGAACTGCTCTCCCTTCTCCCACCTTTACTGCACAGTGTGACAGGGTGTTTGCTTGTGGCACTGTGTCCTTTTCAGGAGAAAGAAAACTGGGCTTGGGTTACAGCCAAGGGCTGCACACAGAACCAGGATAGGCTCTCCAGCTGGCTGGCACAGGGGCTCCAAGGATTTCCATTCCCAGGGCAGGTAGAAGGTTAAAGAGCAGTACAAACAGCTTGTAGAAGCTCCCACGTTCCCTGAGTTGAGGTTTTCCTTGCACTCTTCCAGCCTCAAGATTCAAAGTGTGAGGGTGTTACAAAAGTGAGGGAAGTATCTGCTTCACCCTTTCAGCTGAGGCCATGGTGCATTCAGGATGATGCTGGATTCCAAGCTTTGTAGGCTTTGCAAGGCACTGGTATGATTCCAGCTAGGAAAGAAGATGAAGCCCATGTCAGTGGGGTCTGGGGAGGTGCTGAGCATATGAAGGGCTGTGGGACAGAGCCCTGGCACAAAGTGGTGTTTCCTAGAGTACTTTTTCTTATGCAGCATTGACTTGATGTGTGACCCTGCCCTGCTGCAGAGGGGGTTTTGTGGGGGAGAGCAGGAGGAAAAGCAGGGAGCAGATGCTCCCAGTGTGGGGTTGAGCTGCTCTAAAAACTGGAGCTGTTAATGTGGGAATGCTGCAGTTCCCAGCCTCCCTGGTGCTGGTCTGCAGAGGTGAGCTTCCAGCACCAGCAAGGGAAAAAGGCCTGGGGAAAGCACAGACCTGCTGCTAGATGGAATTTCAAATGCAATGAATGAAGGCAGATGGAAAACATAGGAGGAATAAACTGACTCTCCTGTGACTCGTGATCAATAGCCTTAATAGTGCACAGAACCTCAGGCTACAAGGAAAATGGTTTGAATCTTCTGCTGAAGACTCTTGAGATTCCCTAATTGACTGCAGACAACTCCATAACCTGAGCAGTGTTGGCTTGGGGTGAGGTTTAGTTTGCTTTTGGGTTTGGTTTTGAGGCCTCCCTTGAGTTAAAGATAAAATGTCCTTGGAATATTGGGGTTCAGAGCTTGTACACAGTCAGTACCTGGGGGAACTACAGGTGGTGGTACAGGAGGTTCTCAGTCTGCTGTGGCTGGTTAGTGCTGGTGCTGTTCTCCGTGAAGGACTTGGCTTTTTCCCTGCTGATCTACTGAAAGTACCCAGTATGGTGATCCTGCAGTGCAGGAGGAGGGGTCCTTTACTGGTGAGCCATAAGCATAACTCCTGCTGTAAATGTAGACACTGGGTGGGTTTTATAACCCTCTGCATCAGCAATAGCTGCATGTTGAGGTGGAGGGTGAAGCCAGGGCACTGGGGTAGGTGAAGGTGAAGTGAGGATTTGCACTGCTGCTGCCTGCTGTTTGTACTGGAGCTTGTGAGGAGCTGTTTGTGGTGTGCCCTCAGGCACTACCAGAGGCCATGTGGAGCACAGACTTGCACGTAGTTCACTGCAGAAACTGTGCTTTGGGTTATGCAGCAGATAGAAAGCCCTGAATGGTAATGCCAGTGTGGCACTGTGTATAATAAATCAGACTACTTCCTGTCTGGGGGGGGACTGAGTTCATTTCCACCAGGCTTTGATATATGGAGGTTGGAGCTATATAGGTGGTGTCAGAAAGCTCTTCCTCAAATGGCTCTAAAGCTTCCTGAGCCCTGCTGATCCAGCACTGCATGTAGTGCAAGAGCAGGGCTGTTACAGGTGATTCCTGTGACTGCAGGAGTTTGGTGTGAGGCTGAGGCTGGAGGAGGAGATCAAGGCAGGTCAGAACTCAAGTTCAGCACACAGGTAACACTGGAGAGGGAGGCTGCACTTCCAGTACAACCAGTGGGCAGCGTTGGTGGCAGGCCAGTCCTGCCCCTTTGCCTAAGAACCAAAACTCTGAGCAGAAGGCTCAAAGGAGCTGTTGCACTCGATGCTGTTACTGTTGGTTATGTCTCTGATAACTTGACCCCACATCCCTGCCTGGGCTGTCCTGCAGTGCCCGGGAGCACAGCACTGCAGTGCTGAGGGTCCCTGTGCTCACTGACTCCTCCTTTGTTGCAGAAATACCACTCGGAGAGCAAGAGCACTGACCAGGTGGCAGAGACACAAGCTCAGATCGATGAACTCAAAGGAATCATGGTTCGAAACATAGGTATCCGCTTCCCTCAGCACCCGGCATTCCCGGGATCCCTGCAGGGAGTTACCTGAGTGCAGCTGGTGTGGGGTGGCTTCTCTTGGCAGAGTGAATGGATGAAGAAGGAGCCGGGGAAGCCTGGAGTTTGCTCTGTTACTTGCCTTGCACATGGTTGAGGGTGGCAGATGGGTGTGAGGAGCGTGCTGAGATGAACTTGCATAGGCTGTGGTGGGGTGAAGCGTGCTCTGGACTTGGACTGCTTGTCATGAGGCTTTCCTGCAGCTGCTCAAGGTACTCCTTGGTGGCTTCCATACCCTGTGTGTGTGTGTGAGAGAGAGAGAGAGAGACTCTGGTTTGGGTTTTAACAAGTCTCACCACTTAAAATGGAGTGTTAGATCTGGAACTGACCAAAATTGAGTCAGGTCAGTCCCTAAACGTAGCCTGTGTGCTGTGAGACTGCTCCTTAAGTGCTCCTGCCTAGCAGTATCTAAAAGGCTGGGATGTGCTTGATGCCAAGAGCTGCAGGATGGCAGCGGAGCCGGGGTGTGGGATGCAGCATTTTCCACTGGGATTCTACCTTCAGCTTGGGATTTTTGTCTCTTTCTCCAGACCTTGTGGCACAAAGAGGAGAGAAACTGGAGCTGCTCATCGATAAAACAGAGAATCTTGTGGATTCGGTAAGTCTGGGGAAGGACTTAGAAATGGGGAATGGTGTTAGTGCATCATCGGGGAGGAGTCGGGGTGATGATCAGTATCTAGAGCTGCTTTTAAATAGACTGAAGCATCATCACTTTGGAGAGGGGCTTTGGACAGGGGCCTGTAGGGACAGGCCAAGGGGAATGGCTTGAACCTGCCAGAGGGGAGACTGAGCTGAGCTCTTAGGCAGAAGCTCTTCCCTGTGAGGGTGCTGAGGCGCTGGCACAGGGTGCCCAGAGAAGCTGTGGCTGCCCCATCCCTGGCAGTGTTCAAGGCCAGGTTGGACACAGGGGCTTGGAGCAACCTGCTGTAGTGGAAGGGGTCCCTGCCCGTGGCAGGGGGTTGGAACTGGGTGAGCTTTAAGGTCCCTTGAACCCAAACCAGTCTGGGATTCTATGCTCTAGATCTACAGATCCTTTCCTATGTCACACACAAATTATGTCTTCTCCCCCCACTCCTTGCAGCTGTTTGACAAGCTGCATCCCAGCCCTGCTGCTCCAGGAGGGAATGAGGGCACCCTGTGTGTTCTCTTGGAGTTGTGGGTGACTCAGTTGCCCCAGTCCTGAGGAGCAGCTGCCCCTCCTATATATGAAGCAATAGGGAAGCTGAAGATCATAATGAAACCTTCTTTTGCAGCCTGGACTCAAGTCAGCTTGATCCATACAGACTGGAAGCCTGTAGAGTTGGTCTGGTTTGTCAGAAGGGAAGGGGAAGCTGATTTAAACAAAACCCCATCACCAATAAACCCAAGTTGTTCTCCAAAGTAGCCTGGGAAAAACTCTGGAGGTTCATGGTGTGTTTCTAAGTGAGAAAAGACTGGCACCCCCTCTCCCCCCTAGCTTAATGTAGGCACAGAGCATTATGTTATCTAGTAAAGCACTGGGCGCTTTGGAAGCCTTTCCCCTGGGAATCTCTGGAGGAGGTGATTGCTTTGGGTTATTAGGGAGACAGCAGCTGGGAAAAGCATGTGGTTCTTGGGATGCAGCTTCAGGAATGAATGGGCTGTTTTACTTTCTCTTGCAGTCAGTCACTTTCAAAACTACCAGCAGGAACCTTGCTAGAGCCATGTGTATGAAGAACCTCAAGCTTACCATCGTCATCATCATCGTATCAATTGTAAGTATGGAGCACAACAGCCTTCAGCTCCCAAGTCAGGTTCAGCTGTGGAACATGCCCCCAGCACGTTGCTGTGTTCTCAGCTCTGTGCCTGGCAGGGTCTCAGCTCTAAACCCAGCATGGTGATGGTGGGGTTTGCTAACGTGGGCTTTCCAAGTGCTGGGTGCCAGGCTGATGCAGCACTGGGCTGTGGGTGTGGAGGGGCAGTTCTTGTCTAAAGTGCCTGTTTTCTCTCTCCAGGTCATCATCTACATCATCCTCTCAGCTGTCTGTGGGGGCCTGGCCTGGCCGAGCTGTGTGAAGAAGTAATGGGGGCAGCTGGTGCTGGTCACTTGGAGATGAGAACCACAGGAGTGTGGAGAAGCAACCTACAGGATAACTCTGAGTCTTTCACTACTGACACCTCCTCATTCTTCCATCCCTCCAGGACTTCAGACTATTTTGCCTTATCACCCCAAACAGGCCCAGCTGATCACTGCTCAGTGCAGCGTTAGCCTCAAGCATGGGCTGGTTTCAATTACTTGAAGGGATTATTACTATTTTATGTTTCTTTTCCTGTCCCAGCTCCAACCTCCCCAGCTGGGTGGGTGCTGTGTCCAGCTCCGGGGGGTTATGTGCATGCTCACCCCATGTCCATGTAGCTTTGCACTTAACCTGTGAGCGTGCAAGTGGAGAACAGGACTGCTGGCAACTGTCCGGCTGCAGGGATGGGGCTGGGGGTTGTTTGGAGCTCACCTGATGGGGCAGGGACAAGGTGAGGGTGTGTGTGAATTCCCACTTCCTACAGGTATCAGAGAGCCAGGTGCCTCTCCCTGCACATCTGGCCTCATGTGGTTATGGAGTGTTTTAGCACGTGGAGGTTGTGAGGGTGATGGTGGGAGTAATGAGAACAGCTTTGGGTACTGTGGGATGTGGGTGCTGCTGCCACTGTGTGGAGCCTGCCTTTTCCTGGAGGTCTTTGTGCAGTTGGTAGGAGAGGGTGTTGGGCCACCTCAGCGATTTGAAATGGCAATGGCTGCCTCTTCATCCTCTTCATCCTGGCTTCTTCCTCATCTCCCCCCTTAGCGTGTGCTAAACCAGTACAGTAAAGGAGGCAGTTGCATATAGTTAAGGTTGCAGTAATGTCTCTGCTTTCTCACACGTTGTTTCTCCTGTTCTTTTGAGGGTGGACTAAAATGAGTACTAATGTCCCTCACCAAGGTGAAACTGGGGGCCAATCTGCTGATCTGATCGATGAGGTGCCAGGTATCTGCTGCTTGTGCTTCTGCTCTGCAGGCGAGCGCTGTGAGGACAGAGAAGGGTAGGAGGTTGGAGTTGATGGATGGTGACTTTCTCTAGGGGCTGGGGAAGAAAAGCTCTTTCAGGGGATGTAGTAACATGTATTCCTCTGACAATAAACCCAAACCCAAGGCTAATAACCAAATGTCAGGCCAGGTACACTGCTGCTGTCGGGGGACAGGGGCTGCTCTGCCAGATGTTGGCAGCTGTGAGCATTGCATTTCTGTCCCAGCCAGCCCTCAAGTCATGGGCCCTGGCCCAGCTGACCAAAGCTGCTGTTGCCTGGGCGAGGGCTGCGGGGCTGAAGGCTTGGATCTCACAGGGGAAGGAATAGAACTGGAAGCTCACAGAAGCATCAGATGGGTGATGAAGGAAGATGCATCTTTCTGGCCCAGGAAAGTGGCTTCTCATGGTGGGAGGAAGTCATTGAGGTAGGGAAGGGGAAGCCCAATTTGGTGATGAAGCTTGAGCCCTGGGTTGGTGTTGTGGGTTCATGGTGCCCTGCAACACAGGCTGGCCACAGGCAGGGTGACCATGAGGAGGAGCTGCTGCCTTGAGGCATGTCACACTGACCAGAGAGCTCCAGGAGGGTTCTCCTATGAGCTTGTACACTTAACATGGGATTCACCTACGAGGCTGAAACCTAACTGAGGGTTATCAGGTCTCCATCCCCAGGAAGCGCCACTGGTTCTGCTCAGCACGGGGGTCTGTTCCTGTAACTGAGTCCAGTGTAAAGCTTAAGAGAAAGATTTCCTTCCTCCTGCCCTGCGCAGTGCAGCGTGGGCTCTGCATGTTCTAGGGGTTGTTGATGTTCCCGTGTTCATTTCTATGATCTGTTGTCTTCTGTACGAATACTTTTTAAAGCAAATCCTTCCTTTCCTTTTAAAGGATGCACCGAGGCATTAGTGTAAAATCAAAGTAACTTGGTTTAAATAAAATTCCTGTACAGAATGCACAGTTCCCTAGTTTTGTGAAAGGTGGGTGCAGCACTGAGCATAGGGACTGCTCTGTGTAACCAGTGAGTAACAGGGGGGGTGCATCACCCATGGGGCTGCCAAGCCTGGCTGTGAAAACCTCCCTGTACCAGGGGGATTCTGATGTGTGTTGATGCAGGTGCCTGAGCCTGTTCTGACCTGATGGGCTGATGTCTGGTGGTGGAAAGAAGCCACTTCTCCATGTTACCAACCTGACTGAGGCTGGGATGGGGGGGGGACAACACACACAATATAAATACCTGAAGGAACTCACTTGGTGTGAGAACAGCTTAGAAAAATGGAAGGATGAAACTTCACCATTGCTCGAATGAGACTCTAATCTCTTACAGTTTGGGTTTGTGCTTTATGTCCCTGATCTGTGGAGATGGCCCCGTCCTCAAGTGGGACAGCTCTCCAGGTGCTGGGCACATGGGACTTGTATTTTAAATGCCTGTGAATCCAAGCAGAATGAGGCCCTGTTCACCTCTTTGCCGCTTTTCTTAAGCCTCTGGTTGTCTAGAAATATGTAACAGGGTTGGTATTGCTGCAGACATCAGTTCCTTGGTTCTTCACAGCAGCAGTGTCACAGCCTGATGCACTTCAGCTGGGAGACAACCTTAAATTAAACACTGCACTCTGCCAGGGAGATTTTGGTCTTTATCTAGCATTAAACAGATGCTCAGTAGCCATTAAGTAGCAGGAGCTGTCTCGACTCAGGAGCCTGCAGGGAAATGCTGGTGTGCTCTTTATGGGGGCTGTAGCCCAAAGGTGAGACAGAAGAGAACTCAATACAGATCAAACCCCTGAGATCTGCTGCTCCTTGTTCTGTAGAGAGGGGAGGTAAATCAGTAAGTCTTCTATGACCCAGGTTCCAGCTTTACCACCAGGCCAGGTTCTGGAAAAGAACCTTCTCCATAAAGGAAAAGCCTGAACAGGTCAGTGCCATAAACCTGCAAAGCTTTTATCAGGGGTCCAGAGGAGCCTATTGGTGTACAGTTGTCTGTGACACACTCATGTGTGGCAAAGAGGGGTTTGTGCTCTGAGAATGAGCTGCTGTGCAGCTTCCTCTTTGCCAGCAGCGTTTCCTGTACTTTGTTGTGCTTGGGCCACTCGTGGATGTTCTTCTAGGAAAGCCATGAAGTGAGGGCTGTGAATGGAGTTTTCCTTTGCTACCCCACCTCATCCTGATGAAATCCAAGGAGATTAAAGGTAAAGATCAGCACTTGTAGCACACGAGTTTGTTGTTAGAGGTGAAGTGCAGAAGCCAGCTCCTGCAGGCTGGGAGCTGCTGCTCATTCCTAGCACAAAACCAACCCACAGTCAGGCTCAGTTTGAATAAAACAGATCTATTTCAGCACCATAACGTTTTATTAAACTACACTATCAAAATCACATTGATGGCAGGGAGAACATTGCTATCAGTGCATATTTCCTGTACTAAGACTGCATTCAGAGCATCCAGCACTTGCTGAGGAAGAAGACACTGGAACAGAATCCTTCATAACCAAAGAGACAGTAGAAAACTCTGCTACAAAACCCAGGGCAAGTGGGAGCCGGGTGGAAGAGGAAACACTTCCATTCTGATCAGGCAGGGAGGGTTATTGTTAAGAAGTTCACTTTTAGCTCGTATTCAACTTTTCATCTGAGTTAAGATGCTGCTGAACAGCAGGTCTTAAATAGCAGCCCCTGTCCCTGCACCTGCCTGTTCACAAACCCACACAAATATTGTGTACTGCTCCTTCACTTGTGAACGGTGACACACGTTGATCACAACAGCTTGAAGTGTTAACTACAGTTATAAAACCCTGCTTCGTCTTCTAGAACAAACAATAAAAAGGAGCAGGAACACATTCTATACAGAAGTAAAAAAACCAAAAAATCAACCCAAAAAACAGTTGAGTTTCAGACAAGAGTCGAGAACACGAAGCTGAGTTGGAAAAGTCACTTCTAACATCTCTCTAACTAGTTCTAGTCTCCCCGAGCTGCTGCTGCTGCTGTGGAACAACACAGTGACAGCTCCAAGCTGCGCCCTGGATCCCCAGCAGCCTGCTGAAGCCAGAGTGGGTCCCAGAGGGCTGCTGTGACAAACCTTCCCAAGGGCTGCAGTGGAGGTTTAAAGGAGATAAGGCTATTTGCAGTCTTCCTGTGAAGACTCGTGTTGCAGTAACGTTTACAGCAGTGGGAACACAGCAAAGGAGTTGTCCCGCTGCTGTGAGGTCGGGCTCTTGGCAGGTGACAGGGTGAGGACAGTCTGTGGCAAGAGGAGAGGAGCTATATACATCAGTCTGCAATGTGATGGGGCTCTGGAGTTCCATTGCATGCCCAGCCAGCTGGGGTCTGCTTCACAGGGGTGTTGGGTTGTCAGTAGCACCCATCCTTCCAGGAATCGTCCTCTGTGGTCTGTGCTGACTGTAGAAACCTGGGTGGAGAGACGGGAAAAGGTCACTAACAAACAGCTGCATGAGAGAGGAAGATCCCAGAAACCTGCTGAGCACAGGGAATGCTTGTTTGAGGCTTCACTATTGATGCCAACATCTGCCGGCCTTCAGCAAACTGCTGCAGCATCACATGTGCCACAGGAACAGACACAGCAGCACCAATTCCAGGCAGTGCAGGGGCATTAAGTGACATTTATCCTGCTCTGCTGTTAATAGTTACAGGGTTTTTCCTGTGACTGAGTCCAGAAGTATTTTCCCTCCAAATACAACTGAACACCTGAAAAATACCCAGGTTTTGTCATGTATTACTGCAAAGCAAGTCGCTGACTTTAAATTAATATTCAGATGAGAGTTTTTAAGTAGATACATTTCAATTGAAGGCTACAATGGGACATTAAAAATCAACAAGCACTTACTGTGTATTAGCCTGATACCTAATCAACTTCATTTCCCTCAATCATAAAAGTTCATGCTACAGCTGTACCAAAAAGAGCTGTAAAAACCCAGCTTTTGGCAATTTATCACACAGTGAAGCACAGCAGATGCCTCAGGATGATGGGATGAGCAAAGCAGGTGTGCAGCTATGTGTTAACATGTCTTAGAGGCCTTATTCTTTAAAGGGAGTTAATAAGTTCTAACTAAACAGCTGCTGCTTTAAGGCTATCTACAGGCTTCAGGTATCCACAGTGTAAGTATTTAGGAAGCTAATTGTAAAAGCCAGAAGTAAATGTCAAAAAAAGCAAAGTCCAAACCCCTCCTGCATCTTTCTGGATTAAGATGCGGTCCCTAAATCAGTTCAGACTCATGCAACAAGAACAAGAATTGTAAGTTACCGAAGCCCTTTTCTATGCTCTGGTTTCTCCTGTTGTAGAAAGCTACTGTAAGGATATAGAATCATTCTACAGACAAGCCTTGGTAATTTGTCCTACTTTCCAAACCCTTTAAAAACTCACCTGGAGTCCTAACCAAAGACTGAGGAAGACAAAAAACCACAGCAACCTTATTTTACCAGTAGCAAAGTTAAGAAGCACCAAAGTAGGTCATCTGGGAAGATTATTGTATGAACAGTAAAGAGTTATTGGTCTTTTGGAAGAGTTTTTCCCCTTCCCACTGAATAAGTATGTGCCATAATGTTCATTTCTTATAGAAAGAAGTTTGACCCTGGGGCTTTTCACTTTCTGGGATAATCAGCTTGGTTTTAATAACACACTTTTTAAAGCAGATGGAACACTGAAATACTGAGTGGTTTGGTCACTGCTGATGTGGTAAGAAGGGGCATCTCACCCAGGAGCTGCTGAGTCCCAGCCAGGCAGCTCCCCCACAGAAGGGGACTGCAACCCTGTAACATCCATCTCCCAGTTAAGTACTGCTCTTTCTTCAAAGGCTCTCCAACCAAAACCCTACATCTACAGTTAGTAGTTCTGACCCAACCCTATACCCACATCATGCTTTAAGACTGGAGATGAATATAACATTTTAACCAAGTGGTTTAATCTGTGACCCAAAAGGTAGATGTTCAAGCCTATGAGGTTTGGAGCCTCCCGCTTACCTCCTGGATGGCGGCGTTGGCTTGTTCTTGGGCACAGAGATCCCCCCAACAGACGTGCGGGCTTTGATGGGGGAGTTTTTTGCCACAGTGACCATGTTACTGGTTCTGGTAGTGCAAGTGCTGCTGGAAGAGCCTGCGTGGAGCTGTGAAGATGCCTGTGGCTTTCGAACTCCACTGACAGGGCCTGTGTAACTGCAGGCTTTCACTGGCTGCCTGGGTGTGAGGAGAGAGTTTGTGCATGACCCTGCCTTCATCGGCTGTCGCACTGTCAGGGGAGACTGCCCAGCACTGGAGGAATACCTGAGCTTACTGGGAGCCAGACCTGGGAACAGAGCAACAAAAGGAAGAACAACCCAGTTGGCAAAGGTAGTTTAAGCACAATTCAGGATACCAGGCCTCTTAGGGTTGGTTAGACAGACAGAAGGGAATCAGCTGCAGGGGTGCACAGAGAACACTTCACACCGACCTGCTGACCGCTGCTGGGTTCTGGGAATTCGGCTGCTTGGCACCTGCAGATCCGACTCCAAGCTCCGACTGCTCCTCACGGACTCCAAGGAGCGGAGACTGGTCCTGGCCAGGTTGGGCATGCTGTGCCTCATCTCCTCTGAAACCAAGAGCAAATTCTCTGTTGCTGCTTCTGGTAGCAGTGGGGGATGTGTAAAGGGTTAGGCCCTCCCTTGAAAAACATACGTGCTTAAAAGCAAACAAGTATCACAGAACACCAGATTGGAACCCAGGGATCATCTGGTCCAACCTTTAACCATTAGTGTATAACTAATCCTAGAATCCCAGACTGGTTTGTGTTGGAAGGGACCTCAAAGCTCATTCAGTTCCAACCCCCTGCCACGTGCAGGGACACCTTCCACTAGACCTGGTTGCTCCAAGCCCCTGTGTCCAACCTGGCCTTGAACACTGCCACGGATGGAGCAGCCACAGCTTCTCTGGGCACCCTGTGCCAGCGCCTCAGCACCCTCACAGGGAAGAGCTTCTGTCTAAGAGCTCATCTCAGTCTCCCCTCTGTCAGGTTACAGCCATTCCCCTTGTCCTGTCCCTACAGGCCCTTGCCCAAAGCCCCTCTCCAGGTTTCCTGCAGCCCCTTTAGGCACTGGAGCTGCTCTAAGGTCTCCCCTTCAGGAGCCTTCTCTTCTCCAGGCTGACCCAGCCCAGCTCTCTCAGCCTGGCTCCAGAGCAGAGCTTCTTCAGCCCTTGCAGCATCTCCGTGGCCTCCTCTGGACCCACTCCAACAGCTCCACGTCCCTCTTATGTTGGTGCCCCAGAGCTGGACACAGTACTCCAAGTGTGGTCTCACAAGAGCAGAGTAGAGGGGGAGAATCCCCTCCCTTGACCTGCTTAATTCTTTGTTTCTATTAAATAACAGCACTTCTGAAATGTGTATGTCAAAATTACTTGCACTGGCTCACATCAAAGCTCAGCCCCAGCTTACCCTCACTGTTGGCATACTTGAGCCGGTCCTGCATGGGACTTTGCACAGATCTCCTTGGGGGACGGATGCGGGATGTGGATGGCCTGCTGTAATCTGCACTGGAGGAAGGGGACTGACATCGGGGTGAACTGAGCGGAGACGGTGAGTATCTGTGCGCGCTGCGGTACGACAGGGAGCAGTCGTAGTCATCCTCATCCTCCAGGCTGTACGTGTCGAACTCCTGGTCGCTGTAGGTCCCTCTGCGCAGGGAGTGAAGGGAGGCGCTGGAGCTGCGCCGGGACACAGATGCAGAGCTGGAGGCGCAGTCCTGACGGAGGCCTGGAGACAGAGGCAACCTGGATCACAGGCAGGTTTTAAATAGGAATCCCTTACCCAGATGCAACACAATTCAGAAGCAACTCTTTTATCAGTGATTTCACCTTGGGAGGAGAGTCAAGTTAAGAACTCGGTTCACTGAAGACACAGCTTATGGAACATCTAAAGTGGAACAGTGTCACCCAGATCAGCACTGTTAATAGAGCTAATATTCAAACTGGCCTGAATTACTCCCTATGTCACAGACACAAGCAGCTGTGACTGTGGACTAGATACTGCCACACGAGCTCTGTGAGGTTAACTAGATGGAGGAGTTCAATTCACGTATGAATGTTTAGTTCAACTAATTACTCACCCACTGACATTTCAACTGGTTGAAACAAAGATCTGAACTCCTGTGTCCAAGGGAAAACACAGCTGATTCTTACAGGCACCTCCAGTGCACACGTGTATTTACAGGTGTCCCCCCCAACTTACACCTTCAGTTCATCTTCTTGCCTAACAAATTACCAGCAATTTCCTACCAAGAACTAATTCAGCAAACTGGCAGAAGGGGCTTTTGAGAAAGGCACCACTTAAAGCTCCGAAAAAGCCTCTTCCCAGTGCAGGAATTAAATAAAGGAAGTGTTGCCCACTCTTCTCCCTTCACAATACAATATGAAAAGCTTGCATCATTCCAAGGATGAAGTGCTTTTCATATTGCACTGGAAACTTCATAATGTGACAGGATTTTTATCACAAAGCATAATATTCAAGTTTAGAAAGGAAAAGGCTGTTATTTGCTTTATTCACTTTAACACAACTTCTCCTCAGCTGCAATAAAGTGACTGCAGATCTTGTGTCTTTTGCCCAGTTCTTAGATCATAGTGGTTTTTAAATGGATAAATGCACAGTTCTAAAGTCAGTGAATGTCTCCAAGCCAGAGAACTTCATTCTCCATTTCCTGTAAATCAAATTAAGGATTCATTTGCACAGAAAAACAGATCCAACCACTTTGTTCCACCTTCAATTAGGACCTCATCCAAATCCCACTGAAGTCAATGCAAAGTTTACCAACGATTTAATGGGAATTGGATCCAGGCCCCAAAATCCCCCCACTGGGACATGAACATGTTTCATTGTTCAGTTAAATCCACCGAGTTGCTTCTGAATGGTTTACCAGAGCAAAACTTAAACTATAACTCCATCTCTTCAGGTTTAGCACTCCTGGGTTTACTCAGTAGAGCAGTCAAATAGTACCTGCATCTTCTGTGCCATAAACAACTTGTAAAACCCAGCCCTGCAGACAGCTGCTAACAGGGCTCCAGGCTGCAGCCACTGCTCAGAAAAACACATGTTTACAAGGAGAAAAATTGCTGGGTTATTATTTCAGCTGGATCACTTCCCAAAGCAATCCACAGGGAATGTCCTGCTTGTGTTTGCTCAAGAGAGGGGGCTGCAACCAGGTGGGAACTGTGAGCTGCTGCTGTTTGAACTGCCGTGACAATGAAACAGTCTCTCATGAAACTACACCTATACTTCAGAGGCATCATGGGATGGAGGAGTTCTGAGTATTAAAGAGTGCTTATGTATTTAACAGTGGGGTTTGGGATAATACTTTCAACACGATCCTCTGCTTTAGGAGGTGTGATCTTGAGAATGTTCTACAGTTGCTAAGTTTGAGTGGCAGTTTGGGCCTGTACAGTATTAAAGGAAACCCCTGCAAATCACAAACATGTGAAATGATCTTTTCAGTTATTCTTTTGTTGTTAGGGAAAGGGAAAGAGAACTCCGGTTGGAATCCATCGACGTATCCCTACAGTGCTAAAACCACCACACAAAGGGGATGGCCATCACGTACTTTCTTCCTGAAGGCGTGCCATGACCTGGACATCAGTCAAGTCCTGCAGTTTATATCCCATAGAGATGGAGTCATCAGATGTACTCAGCTCGCTGTCCACAGATGACTGAGAGCTCAGTGCAGAGTGCATGCTCAGATAACCTTCAGGAGGGAAGAGGAACACAAAGAGCATTCAGACACCCACATACAAACCAAGAACAAGCAGCAGAGCAGGTATTCTGGTAATAAAGGCAGTGCAGTTGTGAAGCTGAGGAATGGTTGCTAGAAATAATTAAGTAGTTAGAAATAACTGAGAACACAACACTCAGTGTTTTGACCTGCAGTTTTCAGGAGGCAGAGTTGTATCTGTGCAGGGAACAAGCTGTGGAGAAGGTAATTTTGAGCTTAGAACCATTAGAGTATCAGTATTATTTCCCCCTATTTTGAGAAAAGGGCAACTATTGATCTAGATACATATTTGTATAAAAAACCCCCAACCAAACCATCCCAAACCTCACACAACAGAAAAACACCCCCCAGGGAAACACAAAAAACGACTAGAGAAATTTCTGGGAGTGCAGAAGGATCAGTGAATGTGAAACCTCTGCATGGCAAATACGCTCATCTATGCCACATGCTCCCAGCATAAGCAACCCCTGTACACAGACACATCAGATCATGTAACTCACAGAGCTATTTTAGGAGAAAACACATCATTACCTTAAATTAATTCCAAGTTTGCAATTAGTAGTGTACAGATTTAGACCCCACACTCTGACAGCAGATTGGATGAAGCAGGTAGATATGCAAGAGCCTGAGAGCACTTAGTATCACTTTCAGCTAAAGTAGGCTTAAGAGATACAAATCCTGCTCAAGCAGGGATTTGAGATCATCCCTTAAATAAAAAGCAATGAGCAGGCTGAGGCACACCAGCAAACACATCCAGAGTGGAAGTTAGCCTCCCAGAGCATCCATGAGATGTCATTCACCACGGACTTCCACTTCAGCTTCAGGCTTGGGCTGCTGTGTTCTGAAGGGTCTTCATGGCAGCACATTGAGTAATTCTCAACAAGGATGCCAGCAACATAACATTTTGCCTGTTCTCAGCAAAACATCTAAAAGCCATTGCTGAGCAGCCCTTTGGAACAATGGTCAATTCCAGGCAGGCAGGAAAAAACAGCAGTTTCCCAATGTTGTTTCTTCAACCAGTTTTGAAGAGCAGTAACCGATGACATGGAAAAGACACCTTTAAAGTCCAGGTGTAAAATAAATACATTGAGCAAACTGCTTTGTACCAGTAAGCCTCCAACTCCTCATCTGCAAAAGCCAGCTTTAAGATGCAACACCATACCATGAGCAAAGTGTGACTGTAGTGTAAGGACTGTGTCTGCGCACGTGTGCTGCACAAACATATGCTCCAAGTCAAGACCCTCCAGTATTATAACTGTACAACACAATCCTGTTTTTGTTTTCCCTTCTGGTGTCAGGAAAAGACATCGGAGGCAACATGAGTGTAGGGATTGCACCTGCGGGATACAGGATAAGGAATAAGCAGTTTTCCATACTAAAAGCTGTATTTTTAATGCAGCTGTATCCTGAATGCAGCTGTTTAAGAAGTTCCCACTCAGTTGTATGTGGTTAGTTTGGTTGTTGCAGTCCAAACTGCAGGTCTGTTTTAAAACAGTCAAGGAAAGAAGGAAAACACATTCTTTCATCAGTAAAAAGCACTGTGGGCTCAACACTGCAAGATGGGCCGACTGTGATTTTCATTACAGAACCTTCACGTCTGGGTTTTGTCACAGGCTCTTTGTTTAGTTTTTCAGGGCAGTTACTGTTAAACAGTTTTCACTGTAGGGAAGCTCCATTCTTCTCAGAAAAAAAAACATTAGATTTGAGTCACTCAAGTTGCTGGTGAACTTTAAACTCATGTTAGCACTTCCTCAAGGGACGAGCCACCACACACGCAAAGTGAACTCTCATGTATAACCCATTTGGATAAAGCCTGTTCTATACCTGCCTTTTTATGTGGCACCCTTGACAGCTTTTGATGTACAGGGTGAATGAAGAAGCCTTACAAGTCCCACAGATACTTTGGTTTTACACATCAGCTACTGTTTCTGTGTGAAAAGGTGGGTAGAATCTAGATTGCCAACCAACCTCATGTTAAAACAAGAGACTGATTTAGAGACTTTTCCCTGCAGAATCCAGCTTGCAAACCCAGCAGTCCTACATGCAGCCTTTGTTTGCAAACAGAGATCAGTGTTCACTTCTATTTACAGCAGAAACCCAGCAGCTCTCAAGAGCTGTGGAAACATCCATATCAACCCTTTTTTAATCCATAAAATAGGGGCTCATTCAATAGCAAGTTTCAAGCCAGGACTGTTAAACATGCTTTATGTTTTTAAACATGCAAATTAAGACATAGCAGTTTCCAGGAAAATCAAGACAGAAAGAAATCAGGGAAGACTCCTTTGATCATAAAGCCAAAGGGCAGTCTTTGTGCTTGGAAGCTGAGCACAACCTGCATCCAGGATAAATGAGGCTCCTGGAAGAGCCCACATGGACTCCTTAGGCAGCAGCTTTATATGCAAAGGCAGACTTGAGGCTCAGAAGCTTCATTATCATTCCTACAGATATGGGTTTCCAACAGGAATTGGGTGGAAATGGCCTCTAAGGGAGGAAATCTTACTCCAAATGCAATAATATCTGACAAAACACTTGTTATATTGTGTTCACCTGCCCACTTGTCCAATTTAAAAGCTTCCCCTGGAGATTACACCTTTTACCTTAAAGCACAAGGCTCCTTTCTGTTGCCTACATTAATCAGGATTTACAAAAGAAATTCTCAAGCCAGCAAACTGAATCCAAGGAATTTCATAAAATTAACACCTACAGAGGATACCATTATTCAAGAGCAGTATTTTCTTTGCCCCAACAGCTATTTTCTACCTGAAGTCACTTAAAATTAGTACAATTTATAAATATATTAAGTTATAAAAACAGAAACCATGAAATAAATACAAGACATTTAGAATGCAAGGAGGTTTTCTCTAATGAAACAGATGAGACCTGGGTCAGTCAACAAGCAAAATAAAAGGAGAAAATCCCCATGAGTGAACTTGCATCTCTTAGTAACTATTCCCTGTGTCAGTTAGTAAAACTCCTTGCATTTTAAACACTGGAGGTTTGCACTGCTCTACTGACATGCCATACCTGAGCTGCCACAGGTTAGTAGTGCTTTGTTAGTCGATTTGAGATGCCCGGGAGAGTTTAGTGCATTGCTACAGGAGCCTGGCTCTGTATTCAGATTATGGGTGCTTGGTGATGCCAGCGGACTGCAATACAGGTTTTTCCATCTACTGGCTAGAAGGAAAAATACAAAAAAGCCATCAAGGTTATTGAGCTATTTTGAAAACCAAAGAGCATAAGATAAAGAAAGGCAACAGATCAAACAAGATTCAATACTGTAACAGATGTACTTCAAGTGAGACGTTTTGACAGTGTTGGTTACCACTGTAGGAAGCAAAGCGGTGTCTGCCTCTTGCTTGTTCTCCCCTTTAACTTGTTCTCTCACTTCTGAAGAATTCCAAGAATAACTGCTGACAAACTGGGCTTTCACAAGCCACACACTGGGCTGGTCTTCAGACATGGCTGTTTTCATGAGTATCTGTCACTTCTACGCCCCATCTTCCCTCTGAAGAACTCCACTGACCTGCATATCTTTACACATCTGTTATTTTGACTTTATCCTGATGGATTTAAACCAGCGTTACACCGCAAAGCTGTGCCTTGGGACTGAACTGAGAGCAGATCAGTATGGGAAACAGCCATTCTGAAATCCTCATTCAGCACAAAGACTCGCATATGAGTTAGTGAAACAGTCAAAGTAAGCCAGGTAACAAAACTAGTGCATCCACACTTGTGAAGGAATGACTTCATCTGTGACCTGTATGTATTTCAAGGGGCTGCTGGACTGCCCATAAGCCATTACCACTGAGCGAACAGTAGCTAAGAAAATAATGAAGATTCACTATATAAGTAAGTTTTGTTATTTATTTCCCCCCCCAAGTATAAGGTCAGACTATTTGAGTTTGGAGCGATGGCATAAAACCTGATATATTTCAGGCAGAAAGCAAAGAGTTAATGGAATGAATCTTCATTCAAGTTTTTAAGAGCAGATGGCTTATGAAAGTAAATGAAGTTTGGTCTCAAACAACATTCAGTTATCTCAAATGAGGAATTTCAAGGCTAAACTCAAAATAAGCCTGACCACAAGCACTGCCAAAACACTGTAAGAATGTAAACTTTAACCCAACAATGAATCAAAACCCAAACAATGAAAAAAGCCACCCAAACCCCTCCCAACAAAACAGCATCCTCTCAGACTTCAAATCCCTGAGGTCAAATTACTGTCCAAACTGAAGTCAGAATTCTTGCATTCACACAGAAGACAAAGCCAGTTTAAACAAGGCAGACAGCAACTTCTGCACCAAGCTGGGGGCTGCATTTCAGTAGTTAAGAACATCCCTGAACTTCACACCATTAATTCTGTTGGAAACTGCACTGTTTCAAACACTAACCCTGCTTTTGTGTTTAGATGTTGGTGAGTCAAAAAAGACAGATGAAGGTGCAACAGCTCCTGCTCTGTGATGCTTTTCCGTGAGGAGTTGTTAGAGGAACATACTAAAACTGGTCAGTCCTCCAGCCGCAGAGTAAATCCCAGCTGCCTACAGAGAAAAGCTGTATGCTACAGAAAGCTGTACAGTATAGAACAGGGTTACTTACTCACTGCAAACCCCTCAGTGGTTTGGTTACCAGCAATTCAGACCATTTCCCATTCTAACCCAGAGCACATTGGAAAAGACATGGTTAGGATATCCACCACATGGATTCCAGGTGATATACTATAGGTATGCAGACACAGAACCTTCTCAGTTTTGGAATGAAGTAACCTCTGCAGCTATTCTAACAGCTCTTACATCAGTGAAAGGCTAATGTGGTATTGATCCTCTGGTGTTCTGAAAAAGAAAACACACAAACCTACAACCCCAGAATACTCCTGAACAGAAGGCTCTGTAGCATTTCATTTCAGGCAGATTGATTACGGGATTTTCCTTCCGTGGTGAAGTAATGCAGCTAAAAGCAACCACAAACTGCTTGTAGGGGATGATAAAACTGGAACTAAAACTAGGTTTCCATGTGACTCCATTTCTTCAACTTAGGGATTTTAATGTTTTATGATTGTAAGCTTTGAGCAGCGGACAACTGCATTACCAGGTAATGCTACTAATGGTACGGTACTGTAAGAATCATCACTATTAGAAACACTTAACACCACCAGAACTTTTGATATAGAGAGGAAGCTGCAAGAAGAGTTTTGTCTGATTCTCTCCCCCATTCCCCTGAAGCATATTATTCCCTCTACGTATAGGTATATGAAGATGTTTAATATTGAAAAATAGTATCAAGAACCAGCAAACACTAAAATGTGTTTTAGAGTTTTGGCTCTGAACATAATCAAAAGCAGAAAACAAGGTGGTCGAGCTGGCTGTTAAATTGAAATGCCTCTATTTGCTTCTTAACAAATACATAGAGGTGAAAGACCACAGTTCCACTTGTTTGGTCTGTTCCTTGCCATCAGTGCAATTTTCTTGCTGTTTACAGACTGATCTACCTTCATAGACGAGGCATAACCAGTGTAACCAAAAGCAGGGAGGTTTCTATACACCACCACACAGGGCTGCACAAACATGCACAAATCTGAGCCAACATGTGAAGTGCTGTGTCTGCAGACACTCTCCACCACTGCAACTGCAACCTTCAGGCCTCCTCTGCTTCACCACTTCTCACTGATGTCAAGTACACAAGCAGAAATGAGGGACACTCGAGGCAGCAATGTCCCAGCTTACATACCTTGATCGAGTCTGCTCAGCAGAGTCCGACAGGCCACCTCTGTCTCAGGGCTGGGGTTATCCAGCACCTGCCGGCACCATTTTAAAGGTGAGGCTGTTTTCTGATCCACAGATTTCCTCGGGGATACGTAGAGCCTTTGCAAAGATGGAAAGGAGACAGGAAAAGATGCCCATTAACTCAAAGCACACAGCCAATGAAACAGCATTTACTAAAGTGCAGTTAACAGAAGTCAATAGAGAAGTTCCCCAAATGAAAAACAGGGGAGGAAGATTTAGACTAGACATTAGGCAGAAGCTCTTCCCTGTGAGGGTGCTGAGGTGCTGGCACAGGGTGCCCAGAGAAGCTGTGGCTGCCCCATCCCTGTCAGTGTGGAGGCAAGTTCTAGTATTTGAGCATGAAACTAAGATGAGGATGGTTTTAAGACCTCAAGGAACATCTGCATGTGCTTCACTGGCCTCCTACACTCTTGAGCAATAACTTTTGACACTCCTGCAGTGAGATACATCAAGTCTTTCTGCTCCAGTTACTCATTCTCACTCGGGCGCTTTGTATTTAATTCATAAAACACTGCTTTCCACAACAAAACCAATACAAATCAACAGATATTTCAGTAATTATCCCATTACTTTCTAAAACCTCTCATGTTTAAAAGGCACAGAAACATACTATGGAGCTCCCAGGCGCCTATTCATGTTTGGCCAAGGTAAAAGAGACAACTGGGATATTTAAAATGCTGGCATCAAAATGTTCATCTCTGCTATCACCCTGCCTCCTGTCCTGACACCAGGTAAGGATAAGCACAGAAACAGTCAATCCCAAAGCCATACTGATGCAGAAAGCTGTCCTGGACTCCCTCAGCCTGGCAATCTGGGAGTGTCAGATGGAGCACTTACCAAAATCACATTTTTTTTTTGTGAAGCATCTAAGCTCTTTCTTGAATTCATACCTGCTTCTAGCACCCACAGCACCCTATTGCAGCAAGTCCTGCAATGCCGCAGCGTCCAGGGTGAAGAACCACCTCCATCCATTCACCTGCCCTGAAAATGTCACCTGCTATTTACTCTTATATTCCTCCTGTCTGGCTCTTGAGAGGCGGGTACGGACAGGTCATTATTCCCTGCTGCCTCTTGACACGCTACTCATGGGTTCATAGATCTTAATAATATCCCTGCCCCTGGCCAGACCCATCTTTTGAGGTCTCTTCAGTCACGCTCTCCCGAAGAAGCTTTTTCATACCAGGCTTTACAGGCAAATACCAAAATCCAAAAGCTAATTTGCTATTGACAAAATAAATGCTGAGAAACACGAACACTATTATTCCTGCAGCTGCAATATCCCTACAAGCACATCTTGCTGTGCTCCTGCATGGGTAAATGAACATTGCAGCCACTCAGATCCAATAAATCAGAGAGAGCCAATTGCTCTCTCTCTCTGGATTTATTTTACAGTTGAGACAAAAAAAGCAGCAATAAAACCATCAAACAAAAAAGAGGCCAATGGCCTCCTTAGGGCAGGTCACGTTGTTCTTCACGTATTTTAGGTTAAGGGAGGAAATCCTGCTCTACTTCAGGAAGCAGTAGCTCTACCCAGCTCCTTCCATACTGCTAATCATGTTTCTATGTGATCAGACGTATGGTAACACTTGTTTGATTGCCAGAACTTTTCCCACATGGAGCAGCGTGTTGGAGTCCTCTGCAGTCTGGCAGAGGACTCTCATTTCCCAGCTGACAAGTCTATTGGTAAGAGATGGTCTCACTTAATTTCATACAATCATAGAATCAATCCCAGACTGGTTTGGATTGGAAGGAACCTTAAAGCTCACCCAGTTACAACCCCTTCCATGGGCAGGGACACCTTCCACTAGAGCAGGTTACTCCAAGCCCCATTCAGCCTGGCCTTGAACACTGCCAGGGATGGGGCAGTCACAGCTTCTCTGGGTTCCCTGTGCCTATATCTCAGCACCCTCACAGGGAAGAGCTTCACCAAACTCAAGGAAGAAAGCTCAACTCAGAGCACTGACAGACAGCTTAACTGAACAAGAAGGGAATTCTGGTTTGATCCTGCAGCATGTGGCTTACTAACTCTGGGGAAGGCTTCAACGTACCAACTTCTCAGGTATGCTGGCATCGTGTATGCAGTGTTTCTGGTACAAATATGCTCAGTTGTGCCATGAAGCATTCACACAACCGTCAGTTAACCAGTCAGCCAAAGTCCTTTGGCTTTAACAAATACCTGATTCCTCAGTAAGCTTTACCCTGCAATTTGCTCCCTCAACTCAGCAGTTGGGGTGTGAAGCGTGTGCTGTTTAAATGCCAAAAGGTTATGCTTTGAATGTTTTCTGTGCTCAAATTGCAAATGACAATTTAGAAGCTATCTGGGTAGTTACAAAGCCTAACACAAAATTCAGAAAGTACACATTAGGGGCATATATAATCAATGTGATGTACTGGGGTTTGCTGTGGAACTGATTAAATATAAATGAGGTTTTCTTCAGCTGCTGTGAGGAAACCCTTAGGTAAAACATCTTTACTTTCTGCTTAGTAGTGTTTCACTTTCCCATATCAAGAATGCTAGGAAATGCAGCTCTGGTAAGTGCCAGGTAGTTCCAGTTGTGCAGCAACGATGACAACTTTCCAACCTGCACACTGCATTGAAGAAAAAGCATCTTCACAATTCAGGACACATTGGATGAGTTGTAAGTGTGCAAGCCTGTACTGCCTGAGAGGTTAAGATCCTAATCAGGTAAGATATTTGTACTAGTAAATCTATAGGTCATAAGACAAGACTTCAGGCTGCAGAAAGCTCTATAACTAGTGCAGTAGGGCATTAAACTGAGAGTAAATTGAACTGCAGTTTTTAAGACATGCTGGTTTATTACATGCCTTTCACAGCACTTAGCACAGGTTGCTACCACAGCACTAAAAGCGAGCTACATGCATTAGAGCAAGAAGAAGGAGACCGGAGGTAGCTAAAGATGTTCAGAACAATTTAGGTTTACATGATATACCTCCAGAAAGTGCTCAGAAGGCAGCTAAATTCTTCTGTAAAGGTGTATTTCAAACAGGTAATCCATTTTCCTTTCCTTTCCCATATTAGACTTGAGAAAGTTGATTTTCACTTTTTTTTCTGTGCTTTACGCTGTTGTAGTCTCAAATCTAAACACCATTGTTAACAGAACAGCTCAACAATAGAGTGTTGTGGAACAGTGAAACAACATTGGGCAGGTCTTGTAATGATAGAAACTAAGGGAAAAAGGAGGAAGATCATGTGGGAAACACTCCACACAAAGAGATTCCAGTATTAACCCAAGTAGAGGTTTGAGCCTTTCTGACCCAGAAACTGGGAAAAGAGGAATAAAATGATACTGCAAAGCCCTGAAGAGGCGCTACTTTTCCTGCCTATCTAGTGACTAATCCTGCTCAACAAAATCCCCAAATCCAGGCACTAAGTCCCAGAAGCTCTAAACACACATTAGCTTAAGCTCATGACACAGCCAATAGTCTGTAAGATGATCAAAAGGCACCTTGTGGGACAACTCACGAGCTGCATTATACAAACATGGCACAAGGCTGCTGAGCTGCGTGTGAAAAAGATTTCCTGCTCTGCTTTGGCAGTGGGACTGAGCATATCCCTGCTCACACCTCACCCTAAGGAAAAGAGCAGGAGCCAACACCTCGAGCATTTCACTAAGAAAGCAATTGACTATATCAAGTTAAAAATACCTCTGGAAGGTTTTCATAAGGAGACCACCCTGAGAAACTAAGACCTTGTGAATTGCTTTTCATAGAGAGGTTTGGGTTGAAGGGACCTCAAAGCTTATCCAGTTCCAACCCCCTGCTATGGGCAGGTACACCTTCCACTAGAGCAGGTTGCTCCAAGCCCCATCCAACCTGGCCTTGAACACTGCCAGGGATGGGGCAGCCACAGCTTCTCTGAGTAGCCTTGCCTGTGTCTCACCACTAAACAATAAACTAAAAGCAGAGAAAACCACAACTTAATTCTTTGGGGAGCACCTACAAGGGGCAAACACTGAGGAAGACAAACAAGGTCAGGCTCCTGCAAGCACAGCTGGTTTGATCCCTTCTGTGCAGGGAACAGCTTTTCTGCAAACTACTCAGGAGCTGACCTGCACTGAGATGTAGCTTAAAGGGGTTGACCCATTAGCGTGAGCAGCACTCCATTCTGAATGTGGCTGAGCGGTGCTGACCCAGCAGCACAAAACACTGACTTCCACTTGATCAGGTCTAGGGGATATTTACAATTGTGAACAGCTATTTGAGAAAGGGACCTAAGCAAGCAAGTCATAGGAGAGCCACCAAGGAGGTAGAGAGTTACAGCTGCAGCGTGGGATGCGGCACCTCACGTTTCCGAGTTCAGCCACTGCAGGGCTGCTGTTATAAACACAAACCCTGCTGAAGCTGAGGGAAGCTGCACAGAATCATGTGCAAGTTTGATCTAAATAAACCCAATAATTTGAAAGTAGTGCAGAAACTAAGTCTCTGTCTGCACCTGCAAAATAAGCCATCTGCCCCATGCCTTTGCGTTTCCGCCTTCCCCTCCTGGGGCCATGGGGTTTGTTGTTATCACATCAGCCCAAGGGCAGACTGCACCAGAGGCTTCAAACCTGCTGAGAAGTTATGATGTATAAGAACAATATCACAACAGAAATTACCCTGAAGTTTGGACCTGTTCTTAGAACTAGAATGACATGAAGATTTAAGAACCAAAGCCTCATTTTTTGAAAGCTTCTCACTCCCAACTCCGTTTTAAACACTTTCATACTTTAAAGACTACAAACTGAATTCTTTATACTCTTTAAGGCATAAAACATCACCCCCTCTACAAGGTGATATTAAAGATAAGGTCAGCAGACCAAGAGGACCAGGCTGTTAACTGAACAGATAGAAGCAATGCAACAAAGATGATTTATGATAACAGTAGTTGCACAAGTGCTCTGTAATACCACAGCTCCTTGGGGCACCTCTTTTTAATATGTTTGCTTGTATGAGCCAAATCTGACAAGAAAACAGAGGTATCAATAACAGGAAGATCACAGTCTAGTGAGAAGATCACCTGGCAAAGAACAACCTCATGAGTCTCCAGCTCAAGGGAAGGTGAAGACACAGAGCTGCTGGGAGCAGAATCAGTCCTGATGGCACCAACGCCATCCATTGCCCATGTAATCTCAGACTCCTTCTGGTTCCTTCACCCAATCAATGCAATTTTAAGAATCTCATGAAAATGAACATAAAACTGACTGCTTTCATTAACACAGAAATAATGAAGCCTGTCTTCCAAATTTAACTGGTTAAATATATTCCCTTTAAAGAAATCTGCTCCAAATGCTGTTTAGGTATTCTAAGGAGTTTCAGTGATCGAGTTAGAACCATTACATAGGTTTTAAAAGAAAGCTTGCAAAGAAAAAAACAACCAACAATCATGTTTTTAATATAACCTCAAATTTAGACTTGAGCTGAGTTTTCCATTACATTAACAAAAGTTTACCTTCACTTACAGCAGCTGAAGTTTCAAGTCACAGCTACTGCATGAGCTGGAATTGGCCTCAAACTTTACCTAGCTTTGGAAGGGCAAAGGGAAATTAATCTGCTGATTTATACAATAAGTTCTAAACAAGGCTGGTAAAGCAGAGAGGCCTACACAGTGAGCTTGGCTGAGGATTACATCACTGATCTGTTTCACTTCATGTCTCTAAACAAAAGAAACAGGTTAACTGTGAAGAAACAGTATTCAGGAAATGGAAATGATTTGCTGTCTGAGATACCAGCAAAAGCCACAAATTCCAGGCAGCCCGAGGTCTCACTTGCCATTTTACAACATTCTCATTTGTACATAACTATTAAATACCATATTGAAAGTTTAAAAACGCCATTATTCATTCACCTGCATGTGTTACACACAAACTGGCAGGAAAGAGAAGGGAAGTTTTCTGTGCTTGCTACAGCAGCGTCAGGAAGAACGCGGGAAAGACAAAGCCTTAGAGTTAAACTGATTTAAGAAATAATATGCTCTGGCAAAATGGTCTTGAAAATAAGACCAGTCAATAACAGGAACTGCATTCCAGCTGCTAGCAACCAAATCACTTTATATCCTTAAAAATCACTGCACACCTAAAACCAAACTCCCAGCTGCAGCAGGAGTTCCAGGTATCACTGAGGGTTTGAAATACCTACCAGCAGTCTTCTTCTTCATTGCAATTTTCAAGTTCTAACACTTTGACTTCATCCAGATCCGTGTTACTGGACAGACTTTCTGATTCTCCACATTTCTGACTGGGATTTTGTTCATTTGCTTTAACTGAGGAATCAACACCTGCAAGGACCACATTTCCCATCAGCTCTGTACTATCACTCGTGACTGTACACCTCATGTCACCATCATCCTTCACTTCCACCTTACACACGCTGGAAGACAATTCCTCAGTGGCACTGCTGCTACTGTACTGCATTTGGGCATCTATCTCTCTTGTGAAGCAGTTGTTGTCTTCTGCCTCTTTCCTTATCTTGCTTAGTTGGCTGTGCAGATCCGCCATGATTTGCAATTCCTGCTTCTCGGTGATGGCATTGATGCTGTTATTAATCTCCATCCCATTAAGACCAGAGCCGTGGTTATCCACAGTAGTATGGAGCTCACTCTGCACTGTCCCAAGCACACTCCTGCTGCTCTTGGTCCTGGAGTGCTGGTTCTCTATCTCCAGCCTCCTCACCAGCTCCCTCAGCTTCCGCACCTCCGCCAGCTCTGCACCCACTTCCTGGGGTGCTGGTGCCGTGGCAGGACCCATGGCTGAGTTCTCCATGGAGTCTCGTCCTAAGGCTGGCTCGAAAGCATGATCCTGCTGTATGACCGGCACATTTCCAGGCACCACCATCATCCAAAACACACAGTGGCACTGCAAGACATGAGAAACATCTAAAAGCTCCATGAAGATGCACCATATTTTTAAGCCAACTGGCATTAAACCCCCCAAAATCTCACTTTTACAAACATAAATTAATTACATTGGGTACAAGGACATTTAATCAAAACCTACTGAAAGATAACAACTGAAATTAATAGGAAACATTTCAACAAACACAAAATACTCATTTGAAACAGCGAGGATGTGTGACTCGTGCTACAAAGTGGCTGTATAAAAGGAAGCTGATTTAATCACAGTTTCCATCTGTTTACTAACAAAATATGAGAGAAAAGCCCTGCCTGAGCAAAGCCAGGAAACATCATTAGCAGGTGCTGACGTCAGGCAACGGCAACACGAAGAAAATGCTAAAAACATCCTTTGTTCATTAGCAGGTTTACCCTAGAAAAGGAGAAAAAGAACTGGAGAAGGTTTCTGGATCAACTCACAGCAAAGACTAATGACAGGAACCACAGTTACTGTGGGAGGTGAAAATAAGTGTCATTCATGCCTTAACTAGCATCTTTTCCTGTTACAAGTGCAAAGGGAGAGGCAAGCTCTTTGAGGCCAACACTGCGAAAACCAGAACAAAAAGAGAGAGAAATACACCCCACCATAGATTACATATTCCAGTAAGTTTCATAAACCAAAGCCTTCTACTTGGTTTTGTTTGTTAAATGCTACTGCTCACCCTGTGGCTGTTGACCAGGGTGAACAGCAGCAGAGCACCATCACTCTGGCAGCTTTACACTGCCCAAGTTTCCAGGCTTCCCAAAAATTCACATGCATTTAACATCCAGCTTTCCACCACTTACAGATAAGAAGCAAACACTGGTTTTCCCCTGCATCAGTGATTTACATGAGTTTTCCATTTCAACATGGGATTCATTTCTGAACTGACTCTTCGCTACTAATACGAGATTAATGCTCCACAGAAGGAGTAAAAGGGAGTCCCCTAAAAAATATAAATCCTATTTTGCAGAAGGAGAGCAAACACACTGACAGATGAGGAAGTCAGACACAACCACGCTGAAGTTTAATAGATGTGATGCAGACATCACAATTGCACCTGGACCCTGGTTTTCTGTGGCTGTAAATGTTCTTCCCCCCTCCATTTGTTGCCTCAAAGCTTCCCTTGTTTTCAAGGCCCAACTGCCAGCAGGTGAGAGGAAAACACAAAAATTCAGTATCACACAAAGGGCACAAAGCCAGCAAGGTTAAAAACACACCAACACCCCCTCAGCATCTCGCTATTACTTCAATCACTTGTAACTGCAGCACCTGAGCGTGTTTCCTACAAAACGCATTTTGTTTTGGGTTTTTAACTTGTCAGTTTGTGGTTTTATTTAGGTCCTGTACAGGAAAGATGAAAGTTTCAGGCTTACATTTGAATTAGTAATGAAGACAAACAGCTCCTGTGAAGAGCTGACTGCAGTGCGCTTTGAACACCACTCTCAAAATGACGCCTCTAAGGAGCATTCCTGAAGTCGGTTTGACCTGGGAATGAGAAATTCAACGTGTGGCTCCCAGAAAATCCAATTCCTACTCATACATCCCCCTGGGAAAACCTCCTTGTGCCATCATCCTCTCTCCCCATGAGTAACGAAGCATGGATGATTTCCAAAGGAACACGGAGGATTCCCAAAGGCAGCTCAAAGCTCCTGCTCAGGAACTTGCTGAGGATGCACCAGTGGGGAGTTTAAGCGTTCTACTGTCAAAGCAAATCACCACAGCCCAAGGGGGGAGCAACGAGATCTGTCACCCAACAAATCCCTTCCCCTCTAAGGCTGAGGAGCAGCAAAAACCTGCTTTTCCATGCACAGACAGGGAATAAACCGATCAGAAGCATTCTGCTTTTTCCCACGACCAGTAAGCCTAAACCCCACCTAAATAAAGGAGCAGGGATGCCGGAGGGCAAACCGTGCATCTGAAAAAAAACTTGATTTCATTGTATAAAGGGCTCAAAAGGCGGGGGAAAGAGAAGGGAAGAGGCGGCCCCATCTGAAGCCCTGGCTGTGCCGGAGACAATCATTCGGAGTTTCCCATCAAGACATCCGGGTTTCTAACGAGGGTTAACGGGATCCCCTCACCGCAGAGGGCAGGATGAGGCCGGGGGAACGGACACCACCCCCTCCCAGCCCGCAGGTAACGGTAACGGCCCCGGCCGCGGCCCCGCTCCGGGAGGAGGGTGCCGGCCGGGAGCCCCGCAGCGTGGACAGCTCCCGGTGCGCGGGCACGGCCGCTCTGAGGGAGGAACCAGAAGGAGGAGCTGGGTAAGGGCGCGGAGAGGGTCGCTGCCAGCACCGGGTGCGGCGGGAGGAGGAGGAGGAGGAGGAGGAGGCGGCGGGGCCCTGCCGGAGGCGCGGGGCCGTGAGGGGCGAGGGCGCGACCCTGATGTGACCGCGGCCGGTCCGCCCCCCCGCTGTGCCCATCCCCCGGTACCTGCCGCCGGTGGCCGGTGCTCGGTGGCCGCCGCTCCCGCTCCGCCTTTCTCCGGCGCCGCCGCGCGCCCCGCTCGCAAACGGCGGGAGGGAGGCACCGCACCGCGCCGCGCGCGCACTCGGGGCCCGCCCCCTCCGTGAGGGGAGGACGCGGATCTGCGCCTGCGCCGCCGCCACAGGGCCGCGATGGCGGGAGGCGGTCAGAGCCCGGTGCGCGGAGCGGTCAGTGCGGGGCGGGGGGGGGAGCGGGTGCCCGTGCCCGTGCCCGTGCCCACAGAGCCCTGTGCTGCGGGCTGGGCGCGGACACAGCTGTGTTCAGCCGCTGGCATCGCCCTCCCGTTGCGTGGAACCATGGAAGGGGGTGTGTTGGAAAGTAGCTTAAAGCTCACCCAGCTCCAACCCCTGCCACAGGCAGGGACACCTTCCACTGGAGCAGCTTGCTCCAAGCCCCTGTGTCCAACCTGGCCTTGAACACTGCCAGGGATGGGGCAGCCACAGCTTCTCTGGGCACCCTGTGCCAGCGCCTCAGCACCCTCACAGGGAAGAGCTTCTGCCTAAGAGCTCAGCTCAGTCTCCCCTCTGGCCGGTTAAAGCCATTCCCCTTGTCCTGTCCTTACCAAAAGCCCCTCTCCAGGTTTCTTGTCCAGCTACTGGGGAAACAGGAATTTTTCATTGGAAAACAACAGAAAGGGTTGGATCAAAGGGCAGGGACAGGCAGGTGTGACACAGCGACACAGCAGACAAAGATGCACGTGAGCAAAGGCTGTTTATTGGAGCTGTATACCGAGGTGAAGCCATTCCTACAGAGAAACAGTACTGGGGAGAGATGGTGCTAAACACACAGCCGGCAGATCCTCTTCCCTGCAAGGCCACGTACCCATCAGGAGCTCTGGAGCCAGCAAATACGTTATTGCTGTAGATACCGCCTCAAGTGCAGGTGTAATGACAGGCCCCTCTGATCTTGTGCTTTAAATAATCCCCCTTGAAACACAGAACAGCTGCTGTAGCCATCATTGCCCACTGCTGGTACAACTCCCAGTAAGGAGTGACTTGGGGAGATGATACCCTCTGTGACCACCTTCTGTTCAGAACCATCTCCGTAACACCTTGATAACTTAAAGAAACAGACAAAATCAGTAGTCTGTTTTGAAAACCCCACCTTGGTGCCTCCTGGGTTGTACCTGCTGCCCCAGCTCCAACTGGAGCTGCCCAATGCCCCTTTTCTAGGACATGGCTTTAAGGTCTCAACCCGGAGCCATTACTGCTTTCAGCTGGAGCTCCCTCACGGCGTTGGTCCTTAGGTCGTGCCTATAGCTCAGTTAAATAACCTAGAAAAGCAAAGTGGCACTTGTGCTGTAAACCCCTCACTCACTAAGCTGTTGCATCCATGCCAGCTTCCCCGACTGAGAATTATTCAGCAAACAAGAGTCTGGACTAGAGCTTTTGCCATCACCTATTTCCATGTGAGAGCTGCTACAGAACTGACTCAGGTGCTTTGCAGACACTCCTGATGCTTTCAAAGAGAAAACACAAACTCTCTGGCCACATTTGGGGCTGTACTTGTAAGGCACAGAGATCAACAAGGTTTCATTATTCACCTTTCTCAAGCTCTCAGCTTCTGAACTAAGGGCTAAAATTACATGATTCTGGCTCTAATGAGCACAGCATCTGCTAGAAGTTCAATTTTGACTCCAACCATCAGAGGACAAGTTAAACTACCAGGTGAAAGAGTGTTATCTTCCCAGCCAGGCAGCAGGGACACATGCTGCTGCAGCGTTCCACTGGGGAGTAGGCAGGAAAGGGAAATTAAAGCTGACACACAATTAAAGTGAGTCTGCAAAGTGCTCCTGAAAGCCCATGGAAAGCAAATGGGAATCAGGCAGAAGCTATTTCTAGGCAGAATTTGGGGGTGAGAGCATAAAAATAGGCTTTTGCTCAAAACTAAATTCAAACCCTCCCAAGAACCCAAATTTAGTGTTTAACACCTCCCGTATCTTGCTTCGTGCCAGCTCACACACACCAAGCTGCAAGCCTGGTTGCAGAAATGAAAGGAAAACAGAATCAGAAAAGGTTTCCCACTATTAGCTTGGACAGACATAAGGAGCTCTGCCCGGCTTCCAGCACAGGGAGCACTCTGTAATCCTAATGGAGTTAAAACAGGCAGAGGGGCTCAGCACCTTTGGAATATCAGCCCACTTATCTCTGCAGGTGGCACTGCCTTATCTCATTCACATCAGCACTTGTCCTGGTGCAGCTGCAGTGGATGTGAAACTCTTCATCATGATGAGGCAACCAGAGGGAAAATAACTTGAGGAAAGGGGGGAGCAGGAATTCTGCTCTTAGCCAGTCAGGAACTACTAGATACATTCTGGTAGGTGCTGCTGAGGACTTCCCACTGGCTGCCTTCTCCAGCAGTGCAAAACCCTGCAAGCACACAAAGAGCAGGTGAGGACAGGAGCTGGGTACCACACACAACACTGCATTAGAGAGGGCAGTGGAGCACAAGCAGCATGAAAAGGACTGGCTGGTCACTGCAGTAAGAGGCAAACAAAGCCACTGCACACAGAGTGAGGTAGAAGCCCCTCTTTCTCCTCTCCACCATGAAGCCTCTTTTACAACCCCAGTACAGCAGCAGCATTTCTGGTTGCCACTGTGGTGGCTCCTGCCCCATATAGGTAAACAAACCTACATCCCACCTACTCCCTTGCTGATCTGTCAGCAGAGCATACAACTCTAGTTTTCCCAATGGGTTTCATCTCAAAAGGATTTTTATGTAAAGGAGTAACTGCATCTGGTGCTGCCTTCTTGCTGGAGGAATGTTCTGGCTGCAAACAGCACCCAGCCTGCTCCAGGTTAGCTCAGGATGGAGGAGGAACTTCTAATTACCTTCTCAGAGGACCCTCCATCTCAAGGAACACTTTTCTCATCACTGGAGCCTGCCCTCTGCTTGTCTCCCCACCTGAAGCTAACACAGCCTGTTTACCACATAATGTCCAGGGATCCCTGAGAAACTGAGGCCCTGGATCAGCTCTACCATGTTTCCAGCTAACTCTGCAACAGCAGTCACTGATTCCCATTGAAAAGCACAGGAAAATTCCTGTATGGATCACTCAGTAACTGGGGGGGTTAAACGCTCTTCAGTCAGAGAACTCCACGAGCTTGCTCATCCAGCCACGTGTGCTGACAGTGCACAAGGAACTCACCTAAAAGAGCTTCTCGTAGCACTTGTCACAGTGGACAATGTCCCGGTGGATGAATATTTTATCCAGAAGATCTCCCATTGCTCTGTGGCAAATTCCACACTGCCAAAAGGAAAAGAGGTGGTCAGACAGTAACCAAAGCATCATGCAGGAATGACAACACAAGGGAGCAGAGGAACGGTCTCTATATCACTTTACAAAGGTGTGAGGATGGCAAAGCAGTGACCTCTCAGGCCTGACTTCCCTAAGGCAGACTAATTCCACTGCAGGCTTCCTCCTCCCACACTCACCATTTCCACCAGCTTGTAAACCCTGCATGGTTTGAGATGCAGCAAGACCTGTGCTGGGGCACAAAGGCCACAAAGCAGCACACAAGGTCAGCTGCATGAAGAAAAAGGGTAAGGGGTGCTGGTGCTCCTTCAGAGGAAAACAAAGAATTCTTCTTGTTCTAGTACACAGTTATGTGAGGAGCTGAAAAACTTTTGGGGACACAACCAATACAACACGCCTTTTTCTGTCCCAGTGTCGATGCAAGCATTTGACACACACTATATTACATGACTCAAAGTCTGAGGACAGAATTTAACACAGATTCCAACCCCCGCCACTCCATTTCACAGCAGTACACAGAAGGCAATCAGTAGTTAAGGGGTGTTTTTACCCTGAAGCAGTATTCGTGGCAGCAGATGTTAAGATGCTCTATTATGATCTTAGGGCAGTCTCGGATCTCACGGCTGCAGTAGCTGCAAACAGGTTCACTGGACCTGTGAGGGAACAGAAGTGTGAATTCCTCTGCAACACAAGCTGGTTCCAGGCCCAGCACTGGTAGCAGAAGCTCCTTTCCTACCACCACCACCACTCCCCATGAGCTGCCTGCTCCTATCTGTGTCTGACTGCATCCAGTGACAGAGGGACATGT